GGGGGGGGGGGGGGGGCAAACCGCATGCTTCCGTCGATCAAGTTCCTTGGGGTCACATTGTCACCACAGATGGAGAAACTACCAGTATATGTATATACTTTATGTGTGCACTGTCAGCATGGCCAACAACCGTGATGGTCACGACATGCATCGAGCAGACGACACAGGTCGAGAGGCCAAGCGCTCGCGATACGTGTTGCACAGAAGTGATCTTCCCGCCGTTTTGCCAGCTTGGGTTTCAGGAAGGAACGCGTGGCGTCTTTTAATACATTTGACTCTACCGTAAGCATCCAGTCGGAAGATTTCCTCGCTGGTGGACAGATCGCAAGTGCTTCTCATGCTTCGCAGCGGCTCATACTGTTGTGTGCCCCAGGCTTTCGTTCCCGTCGAGTGACAGCGCCGCTTGCGCGGGGTTGCCATTCCGGTCCTGCAGTATATGCGACTGCTGTGTGCGCCGCTCCCTCTCACACAGACGCAGCACACTCTCGCCTGCCAAGGCCAGGCACGTGCTAGTTGTGACAGTGTGTATGAGCCATGAGCGTCCGTAGTCTGTGCATGCGCGATGCGCACGAGGATGAGGACAGCCATGCGGGCAGCGGCAGCGAAAAGGACATCATGAGCGGCAGCGAGGTGCAGGAGGAGGACCAGCAGCAGAGCGACGACGACGGCGGCGGCAGCGGCAGCTGCGGATTGGACAGCGGGGATGAGGATGAGGGCGACACCGGTGGCGGTAGCAGCGACGAGGGCGCCGACCTGGGCGCGCTGGACGAAGGGACTGCCGGCGGCAGTGGCAGCAAGAGCTCCCTCGGCTACCGCGTGATCACCGCGGGCAGCATAAAGCGCCTGCAGCAGGGAGCCATAGACGAGGTCTGCGCTATCTGGGGCTGTGGCGGCAGCATCGCCAAGGCCCTCCTAATGTCCTACATGTGGGACAAGGAGCGCCTCATGAGTGAGTGGGCTCCACGGGTTGTGTGACTCGCCTATATTGTGAGGAAGCACACCATGAATACAGGCGCGCCGAGTGCTTTGGTGTGTTTCATGGTGAGCGCGAGGTGCGCTGAGTTTGAACAAATCATGGCGTTGTCGGCAGGCTTGGCGGCAGCCGCTCACCAGCACAGCGCGCAGCCTTTTCTTCGACCATGCTGGGTCCTTGTGCCACGCTGCTGCCCTGTCCCCTGCTTTTACAGGTGACCTCGGTGACAAGGGGCAAGAGCGCGTCTTCAAGGCGGCGGGGCTTGCCGTGGGGCTAAGCGCTGCTGCAGCCAGTACATCCACTGCTGCTGTCACGCAGACGGGCGGTGTGATGACGTGCACAGTGTGCATGAGTGCACACCCCGCAGCACAGTGTGCCAGCAACAGCTGCGGACACGCCTTCTGCTGCGACTGCTGGCAGGGGCACTTGGCGGTGCAAATCAGCGAGGGCAAGGCGCGGCACGTGGTCTGCATGAGCTACAAATGTGGGGTGGTGTGTGATGAGGAGCTGGTGGACAGGGTCATACAGGTGCGGGGGAGGGTCTGGTGGCCTGCTGGGTTGCTGCATCACCGGGCCGGGGCACACCACAGGGCCGGGCTTTGATGAGGATCCAAGCAGGTAGACGACGAGGGGCAAGGTGATCATTCAAAAGTGCGGGAGGATCACCTGGCAAATGGTCGCCCTGCTTGGTGACTCTGACGCCCCTCAAGCGTGCAACAACACACCAGTGCGTTGCTCTTGGCCACTTCATCCCTCCCCCCCACACACACACACACCGCCGCCACCCCGCCAGGATGAGCCGCAACTACTGGCCAAATACCGCCAGAGCCACTTGGAGTCTTACCTAGAGGACAAGTGAGGCGCACTGAGGATGAGGACCGCGGCGCCAGTGCCCCTGGGCACCTTGCTCCTGCTCGGGCAGTCGTGCGGTCTGGTCGTGATCAATTGCCGACCGCTCCTGCTCAAGTGCAAACTGCAATTATCAGCTTCAAATGTCGTCGGTTGTGGTGTGGCTTCCGCACTCACCAGGTGACCTTTTACCCCTCTCGACCCCGGCCCATGCACTGCAGCCCGCGTGTCGCATTCTGCCCCAGTACGCCCTGGTGTGGCAACGCCATACAGGTGAGCGTTGCATGTAAGACCAGGTCTAAGTGCACAGTGTGAAACCCTGGATTTAATTCAAAGCCTCCGTCTTTTTTTCGCATTGACATGATTCAATGAAGCCTCCTCCTTCTGGCCTGTGATCTTCACAGGTGGAGAGCGACCCCTATGTGGAGCCGGAGTGCCCTTGCGGCGTCTCGTTTTGCTTCAAATGCCGCAAGGAGCCCCACTCCCCCTGCACCTGCAAGATGTGGGAGATGTGGGAGGAGAAGGTCAGCGGAGACAGTGAAACGCGCAACTGGCTGCAGGTGAGCGACCGCGGCTGCGGGGTAGCATCAGCCGCTCAAGGAAGGGGGCCCGCTGGTGATGCACAGGAACTTGCGCCTGCATCGCTGGGAGCCCAAGAGTCTGTGCACAATGTTGCTCCGCATGCCATCCTCCTAATCAACTGGACTTTGCGCCTCAGGCCAACACCAAGCCCTGCCCTAAGTGCTCCAAGCCAGTGGAGAAGAACGGCGGCTGCAACCTCGTGGGTGAGCGGGGCTGGAAACTCAGAGTTGGGCTGCTAGGGCTGAGCTGCATTGCTGTGATGTGAGCTTGCAATGGGACTGTCCCGAGTCATCTGCACCCTTCATGCCCTCAAAGCTTTACTGCTCTCATGCAGCTTATTTTGCGCGCACAGTGTTCAGGCGGGCATGCTGCCATATGTGCACATGCACGCACACAGTGCATAATCGTGCACATGCACGTTTGTGAACACTTCCTCTCTCCGTCTCTCTTGCGCATGCGCACACGCACATGCGCACACACACACACACACACACACACACACACACACACACACGCACGCACGCACGCACGCACGCACACACACACACACACAAAGACATACAAAAACACACTCGCGCGTCCGCACACACACACACACATGCCGCATGCATTTGCCACCTTCAGTCTGCAAATGTGGCCAGGTAATCAGCGTCGGCAGTGCCTGAGCCGCAAGCGTTGGCTTCTTGTATTAATTTCAAGTTGTGTCGTTGGTGATCTGGGCGCCGCTGCATATAGAGGGCACGTTTGCTTGGTGGCGCAGAACGGACTCTTCAAAGCGCCCGTGAATCATCCCACCTGCAAACCACAACGTATTTCCGCTCCCTTGCCCCTCGCGCCCAGCCGTTTTGCTGGCTCTGCGGTCAGGGCACTGGCATGGCACATACCTGGTCATCCATTGAAGGCCACAGCTGCGGACGCTTCAAGGTCTGCACCCGTGGTTTGACCGGGGCACGCCCAGGCAGGCTAACCAAGCATAAGAGCACTTGTCTTAGGCCCTTTGTCCCTTGGCCCAGCTCTGTCAATCTTGTTTGACCGCCTCGCCGCTCTGCCTGCAGGACGAAATGGACGCACGCATGACCGAGGCCGCGCGCAACCACAAGCGCTACATGTTCTACTTTGAGCGCTTCAAGAACCACGCAGACAGCATTCAGAAGGAGAAGGCCAACAGGTACAAGGGCAATGTTGTGCCTCTGATTGCTGCATAACTGTGCTGGCCTCAACAGCCTTGTTCTTCTGTGCTTCCTGACCAAATAGGAGCCGTCAACGTACGCCGGCACCCTTATTGCGCACGCGTGCCTTCTCTGAAGCCCGGCCGCCCACCCACTTACCCCGCACATAAAATGCCAGAGCCAAGCTGCTGGCACGCATTGCCGCGAGCGAGCATGACGGTGTGCACGCGCGTGACTTCAGCTGGCTGGTGGGAGCCGTGGACCAGCTCCGAACAGCCCGCCGCGTGCTTTGCAACAGCTACGCCTTTGGTGAGTGGGCACACATAGTTTTGTATGGCAGTGGGCATTTGTGAGCGTGGCATCAGGAGTTGTGTTACCTGGTGTTTAAGTTCTATCACATGACACGCAAACTCCTGCCCAAAGGCCTGACGCTGAATTCCCCTGCTGAAATTGCACGCCCTGCCTAATGATGTGCAGCCTACTTCTTTTTTGGCGGGGCTTTGTTCGCGGAGGACTTCACCCCCCAGCAGAACAAGATCAACCAGGACCTGTTTGAGGACAACCAGGAGATGCTGGCGGCAGAGGTGGGGGCAGCCCGTTCTTGAGGCATGGGGTTTTGATACGTTGCCAATGGCCCGCCGTGTGGCCTGACAGTTTAGAGGTGTGCACACCGCAACATGAGTGTATGCAGGGACCCGTAACCATGCATGCATAAGCACACTTACATCTGCACCAGCTGCAAAGTCCTGCCCAAAGTTCGGCGTCCTCTGTGATACACGACTACCAACCACACCTAGGTGGAACGCCTATCAGGCCTGGCAGATCGCGCGGCGGAGGGCCTGTCGCTGGACGCCGACCAGCGGTTCACCACCATCAACTCCAGCACAAATGTGCGCACGCGCTGTGCCAACCTCTTTTCCATGATAGAGGCAGACCTTCTTGCCAAGGTTTCCACCCTCGGAGCTCACATTGCAGTACCCCGCTTCTGATGAGACGCTCAGGTGTCGGACCCGATGGTCTCATGCCTGTTTGGGGCCTGGTAGCACGCTCTAGTGTGTGTTGCCAGGTCCAGCCCCAAGAGGCTCCCTGCCGACGTATGAACGATCAAAATGTGCAGGGTCGCACCTGCCATGCCCGCTGTGATGCGGGTCGCTTCGCGCCTCGCGCCTCGCACCTTCAATACACCCGGGCGCTTCGTGTCGCATAGAACCACACCGTGTGCCTCAAGGGTCTGCACGATCGCAGTGTCTGTGCAGCAGTCCCACCCATCCACTCACAACAGCAGCTGCCATAGCACGCATGGCAAGGTGCGCACACCTGGAGCTGTGCACACGCGTCCCAGCCTGTGTGTTTCATGAGGTTCCTGATGTCCATTCCTTTGCATCTTCGTCCTACCGGTAGTTCCTTTCATGCCTTTTCCGCTTTTTGCATTTCTTCAAGGGGTTCTGTAAAGGCACATTAGATCGAGACTATTTCTCAGCATGCTGCAACAAACATCAGGCGCTTCTCTCAACGGCTAGAGTGACTCTTGTTTGCTGCTGTTCAGCGGCCGCTTTTGTCTTTTTGACATGAATGCCTTTGCTGGCGACCCTGGGCTGTTTGATTTGCCCCCGCCCGTCAAACTTGCGCCCATGTGGAATTTTCAAATGTGCAACATACTGTGCGCCCCATGAAAACGCCACATCGACATGTCCCACCACACAGTCGTGGTCAATTACCTCTATGGGGCGTGGTCAAGCCAGTAGGAGGGGTCTGGCTGATAGCACATGCAGCAGATGCGCGAGCAGGTCTTTCATTCCAGCATTCGGGGCGACGCGTCACACCCTTGAGAGCGAACCTGCTGCAGCAACTGTGGCGCCTCGGGTGCCCGTCAGCCCAGGTGGTCATGTGGGCGCTTGTGCTGGAGCTTTGGGAGTACCGGTAGCTGTTGTCGTTCATCATAAGAGGTTGAGGGGCGTTCCTGGCCGTCAAATAACATCGCACTTGTTAAATAATTTTTCTTTTTCTCGCAGTGCCTGCGATCGAGGGTTCAACCGAGAATCAGTTGGTTGAACATCCCTCGCTTCAGACCGGGATCGAGTGAGGGAAATCATGTTCCAAATGCATGTCAGCGACGCAGCAGCCCAGATACAGGGGGGCCCCGCAAGCAGCGGCACCAGCAGTGCTCCTGTGGCGCAACAGGTGCCGCAAGAACGCGACGCCAGGGCACATGGTGCATCGCGCCGTCTGGTTCACTCAGCCGCCTGGCAGGACGACACCTTCAAGATTGCATTTTACAAGGTGTGCCGGCTGGCATCCATGGTGTGGTCCATGACATGCTCGGGTGGTTGAAAGCTGTGATCTCGACCAGCGGTTGCTCATGTACTGTACTGCGCCGCCTGACATACTGCGCCGGCCTGTGCAGGTGCTCCCCTGCGCTCGCCGAGCGTCGCACAACTGGAAGAGCTGCCCGTAAGTAGTGTCTGGGCGTGTCTTTGCGGGTTGTGAGTTCTGCCTGGGGGTTAAAATGCACGCCCTCCACCCCCCTCCACCCCAGCTCGCTGCGCACTAACGCCCTGTGTTGCGCCTCACTGCTTTCTCATGATCCCCCGTGCAGGTTTGCGCACCCAGGAGAGAGTGCCAGGTGCGACTGCAGGGATCTCGCTCATGCAACACGCACTTGCATCCGCTGCAGCTGGGCAGGCTGGGGCCTAGCAAATGTGATTTCACTGCGAGGGGCGGCTCCGCGACCAGCAGGATTCGCCCGCATACCTGGCAGCATTTTGCTCTGGTGCACTCAACACAGGCCTGATCGTATCCCTTGTCGACCCAACCATCACAACCGCATGCGTGCCAGGCGCCGGTCCCTGGCGCAGCACGCTTATAGTGGGGCAATGTGTGAGCTGGCGCGCCGTGGCATCGAGTGCCCAATGGGCGACGAATGCCCAAACGTGAGTGCATTGAATGATGCATGAGGGGGACAACAGGTCCAGGTTTTTATCACGCTCTGATTGTGTTGATGAAATTCACGCCGTAACCCAATTGTCCTGTGTAGGTTAGAAAGAAGTGCCGCGAGCGTTAAAGCCATCAACTGCGCACCGTCTACCTCAGGCCCACAACGTATTTGAGGTGTGGCTGCACCCCACCAAGTTCAAGACGCAACTGTGCTGTGACGCGGGCGCCTGCCAGCGCAAGGTGCGCCGTCTTCGCATACTCTTCAGCATTTTGAAGTGGTAGTGCCCACGTCCGTGGACAACAGGCAAAATCTCAAGGCCAATTGGGTGTGTGGTGGTTCACAACCCTGAAACATGTGTAGCCCTTGCGGCCTCTCACTCAGCCCGTCTCAAATCAGCCTTCTACTTGCACGCCCGCTCCCTTGCATGTGTCGCAGCTGTGCTTTTTTGCCCACGCCCCCGAGGAGATTCGTGACCCAGGCAGCGCACAGCAGCCGCACTGGCTGAGCGGGCTGGCCAGCCCTGCCAGCGCGCCAGCCAGCGTCCCTGCTGCGTCTGAAGCGGTGCAGATGGTGTCTGTCTCGGGGCCAGCAGGACTGCAGCACCAGCAGCACATGCAGCAGCAGGCCGCGCTGCATTCCGTTGCCACGGCATCGCTGGGCAGCACAAGGCCCACCGATAACTTCTACATACCGTCAGTCAGTGCAACGTCGGGCTCGCGGGCGGTCTACAGTGGCCTGGAGGCGCAGCAGCCCTGCGCGTGGTACCTCTCAGCAGCACCATGGAGGCCTGGCTCCCCATCTTCGGCTGTGAGCTTGCTGGAGGCTCTGTTGTGCAAGTCAGAAGGCATTCCCCAGGCATCGACCCCCGCCAGCACACTGGCTGAGCAACCCCAGCACGCTGCTGCACCAGCGGCTGCAAGCCGGGCTGGGTTGATGGCCGGGGCACTCCACCTGGGAGCAGGGCTCTGCTGCTTGGAGCCTCTGCCGGGCGGCTGGGGCACGGCCCTTGGAGAGGGGCTGGACCTGCGTGTGCCTGAGGTATGCAGCGCCGGGCTGTCATCCCTGGCTAGCGTACAGCAGTTGTCTTTCGCGCACAATGGCGGGGGCCCCATGCTGCTGCCCCCTGCCTACCAGCTTTTTGCAGAGCCGGCCCGGCAGTGCACCAGCCCCGCTGTGGCGGACTCCTGTGCCCTAGGAGTGACGGGTATTATTACTTCAATAAGATAGGTGCACCGTACGCCCCACACAGCCTGTGGTTGCAGCATGCGCGCCTGAGGCAAAGCAAAGTGAGCGGCCAGGCCAGCAGAGCACGAAGACATCAGGGAGCGTGGCAGTGCCTTCCATGAACATCACACTGCCCGATCCTTTGACCTCTCGGCATGGGAGTCATGGAAAGCTATAGTTTACCTTCGGATTGCTTTTGCGCACGGCTTCCCTCGATCGCAATGCATAACACACTTGGCGGCAAAGGTGCTTGGGCCCAGGCTTCCAGGTGGCGTGAACCTCACCCCTCCTCTGTTTTTTCATGCTCCTCAGTTGCTGAGGAGTGCGAGGTGTGGTTGATGCAGTTTGGCTGTGAACCGGCGGGCACACACCTCAAAGCTTGGCAACACCTCACTTGCACTGCTGCCCCGAGGCGCATCGAGCCCACTTTGCGCAACGCCTTCGTGGGTCGTAGCCCGGTGCGTGCTGGACCACTGCATGCTCGACCACCACGGCACAACCATGTATGAGCGGCCCAGCTACGGGTGCAACGCTGACAAGCACGCTGGTTTGTTCTTGCTGGGCCTTGGGCACAACCCTGCTCACGAATCGCGCCGGGAACTCTCGAAGGGCCCTGGTTGCAGGGCTGCAGCCCCCAAGCTCCAGAACAGAACTTCCATGATGCCGCGCTTCCACCGCAAATACAGGCACAGTCGAGCTGTTTTCATTTCACTTTTCCAGCACAAACGTACTGAAAGGAGGCGCACACCAGCCTCTGCAGCTTTTCCAGGCGCACTCCGGTCGGTGCAGCCGATGCCACGTTGGCGTGTTGAGCTCGCTGGTTGATTGGCTGCTGCTCCCCCCCCCCCCTCTCCCTCACTTTCCGCCCTTCCGGTCTCGTTCCCCCATCCCATCTCCCCCTCTTCCTGCACTCCCTACTACTCAATAACACGCACCCATAGGGCCATGGGCTTGCTGACCTGGCCGTAGGGATGCAGCACCCAGCGCTTGGGGACAAGATCAGGCGCCGGGCCGGGGGCAGCAAGGAATGTCACGACACCCTGAGGTTCCATCCAACCTTCTGTTCGACAATTGCTGTTGGCGAGGCACCGCTGCATTCCACCTGACAAGTGGCATACGCGCACAGGCAACCCTCACTACACCCAGAGGTGCTGTGGTTGGCCTTTCTACCATGCCCACGCTCACTGAATGTTGTTGCCAGGACCTGGATGGCGGTTGGCGAGGGCTTTTCTCGCGGTCACTTGGGTTACTTGCCTGCACTGCTACTGCTTACATAACGCCGCAACGCACACTGGCTGGGCAACGCTAGCCCCTCGGGACATTACAATTTCATACATCTGCAATCTGGGCCACTGGCACAACAGCTCACCAGGCCGCTCACCATGCGTGATATTCAACGCATCCATCTCACTCCGCACCTAGTAGGACCGCTTCATCTGGGTTGGTTGATGCTTTTGGCTGCTGCCACTTTCAACGTGTGATGTTTTACAACGAACGCAGTTGCTCCAGCAATTCTACTGCGGGGCTGCCATGTGTGCCTGGATCACACACCGCACCATCCAGTGTGCAACCTGGCTTGGGAGCCCCTTGGCCCTGCGCAAGCATAGTTCCCTGGCCCGCCACTTCTGATCGTGATGGTGGCGTTTGAAGCCGGTGACACAGCATCTGGTCACATTTTGCGCACCTGAGGCAGGGGCGCCGCCTTAGGAGCTCATGAACATGCCACCATCTGTTCAGGAGCCCGCCAGCAGTGCAGTAGGTCAGAAGTGAGTGAGTCACATTGAGTTGTAACATTTGTTTCAAACAAGGAACCAGTCGGCTGCAGCAATCAGCCTATTTCAGGTTGGTGGGGGCTGTACTGCATTGTGAAGACGAACAGCAAGAGGTGCAGTGAACCACAAACGAGCCCCCATCCCCTTGCGCACATATGCACGCAAGCAGCGCAGACACCTGGGGCCAAAACACCTGCATAAAGAAAACTAAATTGCAGAGTATTTGCAAAGCCCTCACCGGGATGCAGGGTGTGGCCTGAGATGTACGATCCATCCTTTGCACGTTTTGCACGTGCCGAGTGACGAAGGGGCGGGATGTGATTCGGGCCACAAAGCAATGGGAGATTGATGGGCGTGACGTAGCCGCTGATCAGCCAAGCAAGATACCGGCCACAAAACACAGTGCTAGCGCTGCCAAAGCAAACAAGTACAGGCCCAAATTCAAGTCGCCGGCGCATAAGTGTTAGCTCTGACAGGAGCGCCCCCTCACCTATCAACCTTCCCGCTCATGTGCATACAAGCCCATCCATTCAAAACACCACCCATCCAACCCTAGCATTCTGCATGCCCCCAAGCGTGGTGTGACACACCCATGACGCGAGCGCACCTCGCTGGCCAGCAGTACGTATGTGGGGGCGATCTCTGCTGGCATGGCCATCCTGCCAAGCTTGGTCTGGCTCTTCACAGTTGCGATCATCTGAGCACTGAAGGTGGACGTCACCAAGGGGGTGTGCACAGGTCCGGGAGCTACGGCGTTGACGCGGATGCCTGGTTTGTGGCGCAGGGATGCAGATACCAATAATCATGGGGTAAGTTGGATCAAGAATTCACAAAACCGGGCCGCCAAGAAATTAGAGAAGGGACATGCAGGGCAAAGAGACAGCACAAAAGACAGCAAGGACCCGCTGGTACTTGCTGTCAGCAGCCTGACAAAGGCGGACCACGCCACCAACTCACCTCCGACCCCATGCATGGGGTCGGAGGTATGCATATGCAAATGCATATGCAAAAGCCGCGTGCGCACAGCATGTTTTTACTGTGGCATGAAGCACCCCTCAAACCCCCACGCACCCTTGTTGACCAACGCTGCGGACAGGGAGCGCGTGAGGGCCAGTTCTGCGCCCTTGCTCGTGGCGTACGGCACCATGAAGGGCATGCCCTGGATGAGAAAGTAAGCCGGGACAGGCGGAAGCGTGTTGTTCGTGATCATGATGGCTGCGTAGCCTGGCCTGCTGATGCGGCGGGGTGCTGCCAGCTGGGAGGCAGCCCCTTACATAAATGATGAATGCAAACTCAACCTCAAAAGGTATGCCCGCTGTTCGGTTGCAAAACGCCTTCCACATCACACACGCAACGGCAAGCAAGCAAGTGTGCGCACACTCCTGCCTGCATGCGCGCACTCGCACACGCGCTGGTCGCTCGCATACGCAACGCACGCACACCTCGTAGGCCTCCACGGAGACGGTCTGGATGATGCTGCTGCCGGGCTTCATGTGGGGCAGCTGATGAGGCGCGGGCGGACGGTGATGGGGACATGAGGTGAGCAGGCCCAACACGTCATACCCAATCGTGCCAGGTGCCTGCAGACACCTGGGCTGAATTGTAGGACCTTCCACGTGTGTGTGCGTTTCATGGAGGCCTGGCTTGCAACAATTGCAGGCGGTGTGTTCAAGCTGCATTGCTGCGGCCTGATGACGTGCTCATAACACAACCTCGGACCCCCCTGATCTTGCGGACCCCTGCTCCCCTGTCCGCCCCCCACCCCTCACTGCGGCTTTGGCCATGAAGATGTAGCCAAAGACATTGGTGCGCAGCACGCGCTCCAGCTGCTCCGCGGGGACGTCCTCAATGCCAGCTGACGACACATGCTGCTCAGAGGCTGGGATGCACGAGTCAAAAGACGACCAAGCTTAGTGGTGTATTACAGGCAAACTGGTGCCATCGTGCATACGTGAGTTAGTTTGTTGGAAATATTGGTGCGTTTGTCAAAGAGAGCTGCAGCTGGCAGCCCAGAGCTGTGTTGAAAAAATCCCCTCGACCCCAAGTACCCCGCCCCTACTCCCACCGTTGTTGACCAGGATGTCGATGCGACCCAGCTCAGCCACAGTCTTGGTAATAACATCAGCACAGACCTGGACGGAGGGGGGGGGCTGAGCATTGGTGCAAGTGATGCACGACACATACAGTTGGCACCCAGGCTTCAAGCTTTTAGGTGTTGTGCTGCAATGCGGACAATCAATGTGGTTGATGCCAGCACAGCTGCACATGCTTTCAATTTGGGGCAAGGAAAGCATGCGCCCGTTCGTTCTCTGCCCTGCAGTCCCACCTTCTCATCTCCCACTGGTGGGTGCAACGCCGCAAATGTGATTGACAATGCCAGGGGGAAAGTACGGGGAGGCCAAGCGGCAGCGCAGCGTTTGGAGACGCAGCGCACATGCATGCGCACGTGCTTGCAACCCAGCAAATCAATGCTCCATGCGACCATAATTCTAGCTCAGCTCCCCTCACCAAGCCCCTCAAGCAGGATTGGCGCCACAACATACCAGACCGCACGCAGACAAGTGCTGAAGTTAATCTCTGTCCTGCCCAACCATGCAAATTTTCTGTCATACTCTGCACCTCCGTCTCCTGCGCTCACCGTCCCCTGAAAAGAGCAGGCACTTGCGGCCCTCCTTAGCCACCAAGGCCTCCGTCTCCTTGGCGTCCTGGAGGATCCACCAAACAGGGCAGGGGTTGGGGGAGGGGGCGGGGCGGCGGGCAAGAGGGTCAGAGACACATTGGATCACGCAAAGCCAGCAGGCGTTCGGTGTCAGGCGGGCAGGGTCGGTGGTCTGCGGTGTTCACCACCTGATGCGAACATTTCTGTACGTCTGCGCGCCAATGACCCGGGAAATTGTCAGTCTTCGTTCAAAGCACCCTGTTTTGCAGAAATATCCCCGACCAACAACCATCTGCCCCGCCTGCCAACCACCCACCCCCCGCCCCACCTGGTCTTCGTTCAGGTACAGGATGGCCACATGGGCCCCCTCACGCGCAAAGTGGACCGCCACAGCGCGGCCAATCCCAGATTCTCCGCCTGGACAAGGGTGGGGAGGGGCAACGATTATAATGCGGGTAGAGGTGTGAGTGGATGGGAAAACACGCGCAAACAGATGTGGATGAATGCTAGTTTAGAATAGGCTTTTCCTCTCACATGGACGCTTTGATGTGCAGCACAGGGACTTTTGGCAAAGTTTTGAGTGTAAGCATCCTCCCCCCTCAGTCGTCATGATCAATGGCTCCCAGCAGCAGTGCTGCTGAGCTCCTCACCAGTGATGATGGCCACCTGCGGGGCGCGAGAGGACCGGCCGGGTGTAGGGTGCAGGGGGCGACGTGCTGTTGGGACAGGAGTGCTTGGGCACTTGGGGATGGTTGACTAGTGTGGGTGGTTTGAACAGTAGTGCGCATGAGCGAGGGGTGCTGAAAGATGGAGCCAGCCTCGCCCAGGGCAAAGAAAGCCCTAATAATACCCCTGCCATCCCTTCAAAACCAGCCAACCTTGTCTTGCAGCTTTCCAGAGCCGTGGTACGAGTCACGGATGAAAACGGGCTTGTCTGTCATCTTGGCCTCAATACCCCTTGGGTGTTTGGAACGAGGAGGGTGAGGTGGAAAGGTGCAGGCAAAGGGGACTGTTAGTGAGCGGCGAGAAGCAAGCGTGACGATGGATTGACAGGTCTGGCTCAGGGTTCACTTGGTTGAATTCAACCCTCTCCTTCCAATACTTGACTCAATACAACCCTCTTTCTTTAAGTGACAAGAACGACTCTCCAACAGCACTTCTGCTCGGCCAAAACTCGTGATTGGACAGATCTAGGGATGACGCAAGCGCCTCAGCGCACACTCACGGCTGGGGCGCTCCCTGCTGCATCGGAAGGACACCTTGCACCGCTTTCTCAGGCTCTCGGGCACGTGCAGGTACTACGACCTCCGCAGCCTGTTCGCAGGAAAGGCAGCGGATCGATTGGGCGGTCCCCTCGGGGCAACGCCGATGCGATGAGTAGGCCGCAGCAACCGAGCCACGCAGCGCGGTCCTCAGGAGCCCGTATGTACCTTCTCCGCCACAGCTTTGACGCCCTCCTTGGCGGTCTGCATATTATCACAGCTGCAGCGCGAGGAGAGTATTATTGAGGGAAACGCGGGATGTTGGGCAAAGCTCTGCGATTGAGTGATTGGGGTGCCCGGTTGCCGCTGCGAAGACGTTTTAAAGACTTTGAGGGCGAATCTGCAACTGAAGCAACAAAACTGGGGAACAGTTCGCACACCACCTCGCACACCACCTCTCAGCGATGACATCAGCGGCATTGCAAGGCTCCTTGATGGTACGAGATGCAGGCGTTGACGGCTCAGGAAGCACGCGGTAGATGATCCAAAGCATACTGTGAATCTTGGAGCAGCCCGCCACCCCCTTCCCAGCCCGTTGTTCTTGGATGCACGCACGGGGTAATCAGCTGCAAAACAAAGGGCGACCGCGCACGAGGTGTCCCACATGCATGATCTACACCTACCATGACAGGCAGAAACGCAAGAAGCTGTACGTTTAAATGCGAGAGTGCTTGTATGAGCAAGGTGCCATTTGGTTTGGGATGCAAATGGTTCAAGCAATTGGAGCTTTTTATCCCTCCTCCAAAATGGAATCGGGTCTTTGCGGTCCATCTCGTAGCAGCTAGCCGCGCCAGTCGTCTGGATTTGACATCCCAAGAAATGTGTACGCTGACCTGCTGCTGCACTGGGCGACCAACTCCCGAGTACCACATGCATAACAGTACTAAACCCAGGGGCAAGGATACGCACCTTTGGCCGGTATGCCTGTGCGGTCCGGCTGGTGGCTCCCACACACCAGCTGCCGCTCACAGTCGACCATGCTGGCTCTGTATAAACTGTTGGTTCCAGCTGAAGCAATTTATGCACACTCCCACGTTGCCTCCCCTACATTGATATCCTACCCTATTTGCTTCCTTTCAAATTCCCGCCCCTCCCTTCCTGGAGTTGTCTTGCCCTGCTCAGGAGGCAAGGTGTGTGTGGTGGTGTCCAGGAGACCAGCACATTGCTTGGGGCGTTTTTAGCAGGGTGTTCGACACCCTCACAATTTTCGCAGAGGCGGTGCAGCATTTGCAATCTTGGCCATAGGCACACAGTTTTGTACTCCCCCAATGACAGCAGCAATTGTCACATCGGTGACCGCCGCATGTCATCAGCAACATTCCAAAGCGGTGCCTGGCGGCCACGCATGAGGCAGTATCCGGTCATATGACCAATTGCATGGTATGAAAGCGAACTCGCGGGTTGCGCGGCTACCTTATCCCCGATTACCGTAGATCATCATGCAGATGTGTGCTCCTTCAATCCAACCGTTGTGTCAGGCGCAAACGCACCAATTTCACGAGTTCTCGCAATCAGATTGAAAGCGCTCTGCAACTCTAACAGAAAACTCTAGTAGCAGATCGTCGACGATCTCGTGGCGCAGCCGTGTGTTTTTCGTTGAGGACGTTGAGGTTGACCTTCAAGTACTCTACTGTAGGTTGCTGGAGTTGGGGTGATGCAGCAGTCGCTGCGGATGGCAGGAGTGCTGCAGCACGCAGCGCGCTTGCAGAGTGCTGCAAACTGGACCTGCTGGAGCAATGGGTTGCCTGTTGTTGCAAAGTGGGAAGGTGCATCGTGCGGCTTTGCTTCCACAGCAAGCGGCAGTGCGTCCAGTAGTAGCAGCGAACGGCCTGCTGAGGGCGGCAGCAGCGGCATCGATGGCAGCGCCACCCGCAGCGGCTCCCCCGTGGCCGGCAGCAGCACTGCGAGCAGCACACCCCGTGTCACCCATGAAGGCGCCAACACCAGCAGCAATATTGATGCCAGCGCCACCAGCACCAGCAGCTTCAACACTACAGGCTCTGGCGCCGCAGCTGCCACGTTTTCGGCTGCCTCCGTCAAGGAGGCACGCATGGAGCGGCTGATGCGCGTTTTGCTGCAGCCCGTGTCGCGCACGCGTGGCTGGACAGGGCAGCTCAGCCCTCATCTGGTACATGTGAACGGGCAGCTGTTTGTGGAGCCGCAGGCAGTGCTGACCAGTATGCTGCGTGCGCTGCACGTGATGCGCAGCGTACTGCAGGAGGTGAGGGCGACGAAGAGGGCCGGCTGGGGTGCTCGTCGGTGAAGAAGCGAAGGGAGTTGGCGCGGATCCGGGCCAAGTAGATCTTGATGCCGGGCGGCGCTGGCTTCCCATTGCTGCTGCCGTTGTGGCAGCTCAGCCAGCTGTGTTGCTTGAGTAGTGGTTGGTGCTCACCGTCGCAGCATTGCTGCAGGTGTACCGCGCACGTTGTCTTGCAGGGAGACTCCGCGCGAGCCTCGTGGCAGAGATACACGCCTGCCCGCCCCCAAACAGGCCGTCCCCACAGCCCGACTTCGCCCCCCCTGCCCCTGTGCCCCAGGACGGCCACGTCTACGTGGTGGAGACCAACCCGCTGCTGCGCCCCCTGCTGCGGGAGGCGGCGCGGTCCTGCATCAACCCCAACATGTGGTTCATGGAGTCCTCGTGGGCGCGCGGCGCACTGACAAACGCCGCGTCACACCGCCGCCTCTTCCTGCCAGCGCACCAGCCCAACAGGAGGTGCGTGGAGCTGCGCTGCCGCGGATATCGCGGGCCAACCTGGGGGCCGGGCTCCCTGGCGCCGTGCTGCCGCGTGCGGCCTGGGCTGCAGTCCTGCGTACACCAACAGGATGCTTAGAGCCTCAACCGCCTCACCCACGCTCTTTCCTAGTTCTCTAGTCTTTCCCCTCACTCTCTCACAAACAAAATCACACTCGCACACAGGTTGTTCATTGAAAAGGGTTTGCGCATGGTCAACCCCCACTGCCCCTCGCCCGCGCGCCTGCCGCCCCGCCTTGATTGGAGTGATAAGTGGGCGCTGTTCACCCGGAGCAACCGGCCGGGATACCGCGAGCTGCTGGAGACTCTGCTGGATGCGGAGCAGCAGATGCACAGGTGGGGGGGTTTGGGTTATGCTCGCAGGCTTCTGCTGCCACTGCTGCCTTGCCGCTGCTCCTGCTGCTGCTGCTGCTGCTGCTGCCACTGGACAAGGGGCAGGGTCAGTGCCAGTCAGTGCTGGTTGTGAGCAGCGGCTCAAATTTTGATTGAGCCAGGCTGTGCGCCCCTGCTCGCCGCATCAGTGCTCGCTCAGACCCACTCTCGCAAGCACCCCTCACTGCACCCAATACGGTTTGTTGAACCCCCCCACGCAATTTCACGCGCAGCCTGAAGCCGCCGCGCACCCTGGCCGGCCGTGGCCGTGACCTGCGCCTGCTGGTGGTGCTGGACACAACGCGCAACGCCATCGCACTGCAGGAGGCCGCGCAGCGCGGCGTGCCCACCGTGGCGCTGGCCAGCGGGCAGGCCGATATGTCTGCCATCACCTACCCAGTGCTGGCGCGAGACTTCTCCCCAGAGTTTGCCCACTTCTTCCTGGACATGATCATCAAGGTGGCAAACTATGAGCCCCCGCACGAAGCGCAGCCCGACTCGCTCGCAGACGACGAGGCGGGCACTGCTGCGGAGCGTGCTGCTGCTGCTTGACGTTCACATGGACCGCCGGCTGGTGCCACCTTGGGCGTACCCCGGGGCAAGTCACTCTGACGTCTGACTCTGCTGCTGAACTCAAGTAAAATCGCGACCCACTGTTGCACTATCCCAACCCATATTGGGGTCTCCTGCTCGCAACATTAAATGATCCTTGCCTGTGCACAGTTGGGTCAAGTCAGCATGCATACCAGGAGGCAACATTACAGATTGCAGCGAGACCAACCTGCACACCAGTGGCAGCGTGCCACGAAAACAGCTTAATGCGGCTCCCAGCCCGGGGCTTAACCTCGTTGGGTCCCATTCGCGTATCATCTGCTAGTCCCCGGCCCCAGGGACCTCCTGGCTGCCCCGGCTGACACACAAGCGACGCTTAACAGCCTTGCCGCTGCACTTGCCACTGGCGACGGCAGCGCGCGCCCCTGCGGCTCGGGATGGCTTGACAAGCTTGGTGGCGCTCTTGCGGGTCAGCGCCGCCCTGCCCAGCAGGTCGGTGGTGCTGAGCGTGCGCAGGCCTGGCGTTATGCGCGGAGCCGGGGGTGGCGCGACAACACGGGCAGCCCTGGCGAGCCTGGTATTGATCAACCTGACAGCTTTGGCTGCCTCCCTCCAGCAGGCGCGGCCTTTGAGCTCCAGGCGGCGGCGCACTGAGAGCTTGACCTTTGGCTCGGCCGCCACCGGCTTGACGGGCTTGGCTTGGAGGGCAGGGGGGGGCCGCCAGGCACGCTTGTCCACTGCGGCCAGCGCGGCTGCCTCGTCGCCCCGTCCATCTCCCACCAGCCATGGGTCCTGCACAGCAGGCGCGTGCTGGCAATGGCCACCGCCGCGCGCGCAGCAGTCAGAAGAGCGCGCCAGCTGGGGCCAGGGAGCGCAGAAGGTGCTGCGCAGTCTGCGACCGCCCTGCCAGGCCAGCGCCATGTCGGGCTCTGCGCAGCGTCACCGCGTGGTCGAGGGGAGCGCAGCCGCTGCAGGCGTGAGCGGGGCTCGCAATTCGAGCGTCCTCCCCATCACGCAGGCAGGCAGGCAGGCAGGCAGGCAGGCCAGCAGGCAGGCAGGCAGGCAGGCAGGCAGGCAGGCAGGCAGGCAGGCAGGCAGCTTACTTGTCCTCTTTGTGCCCACCTCCCATCTCCCACACCCACCGTTCATCGCGTCCCGGACGTAGTCGCATTCAAGCAGCTGCCGCGCAGTCGCTCGCCGCATAGGGTCAGGCTGCAGCGCCCAGGCCAGCGCCGCACGCAGTCCGTGCGGCAGCATTGTCCACAGGGGTTGGCGGGCCACTGCCCCCTCCTGTGCCAGGGCGTGCAGCGCCAGCAGGGCAGGCGAGGCCCGCAGGGCTCCCGGCAGCTCGTCCCCACCAAAGGGCGTTGCGCAGCCACTCAGCACGCACCACAAGGCCAGGCCCAGGGCATACACGTCACCCGCACACCGCACGGGGCCCGCCGCTGCTGCCGCCGCCGCCCAGCTGCTGTGCGCGATGCCGCCCATTGCCATGGCCATGACCATCTGCTGCAGCTGCTCTGGCGGCAGCCACAGCACACCAGGCCAGCCGCCTGGCTGCGCCCATCTCACAGTGTGTGCACAGCGGGCGACGGTCGCCTCTGCCCCGAGGTCAATGCCCGGGAGGTTGGATGAGGCGCCCCAACCCACAAGGTAGGCCGGCAGCTGCCCCAGTGACGGGTTAGCGTCCGGCCAATATCGAAGGTTGTCCATGCAGACTGCGCTGTGGCACACGCCAGCCTGCACACGCATGGGGGGAGCAGAAATTGACCTTGTGCACCATTTACGCCCCAACACTGCGCCTTACCATGCATCAAATTGCGAGCCCCAACCACCAGCTCAGCCTCACCTCGTTTGCCCGCGCCAGGTCAGGCAGCACACAGCACAGCACATTCCGCACCTGGGCGCGGCAGCAGCACCAGGGGATCATGCAGACAAGCAGCTGAGAGGGACCGGGCTCTGAGAGAGACCAGGCAAGTTTCTCGTGCCCCACCGTTGGCACCCCATTGGATTGTGCTGCATCAAAGGTGCGGGGACCGGCAATGAGGCGCACCAGGAAGATGTTGTTCCGCAGTGCCACTCTCTGCTGTTCAGCAGCGGCAAGGGGGTCGTGCCACGAGGCAAGAGCCCCGCAACTCGCGCACCCCACTTGCGAAATCAGCGGCTGGAGGTCCGCCTCTGGCGGCGGGGTGTTCTGGACCCTGAATACATTGGCATCGGGCCCCATGGCCCCCCGGCGAAGATTCCTGCAGCCCGCCGGGTCAGCAGCAAGACGCACACATCGCGGTGATGTTGCTGTATTCTCTCTCCATCTGCTGGGGCACAGCGGCGTGTGCGGTGCACAGCGTTGCTATGTGAGGGATCTCACGTTCAACACAGTAATATAGGTACGCTGTATTCGGTGTTTGCGAAGCGTTCTATGGTACAGTTGTGAGAGCTCGCCCGACCTTGTCACAGCTGTGCATCGATTAAAACATACATAGATTATGCACTTATGCAGACGGAAGACATGATCACTGGCAGAGAAATGAGAATAAGTCAACTAGTCAATGAGTGCTCCCCTGTGAAACGCCTCCGTTGAGTTGCATCAACTGTGGCTGATTAGCTGAATGGCGCCTGCTTGCCAATCTGAGACTCGTTACCGTGGTCCCGACTAGGGCTATTAATTTGCATGCATGTTGGATGTGTGTTGGCATCAGGCCCTGAGCCTCACTTCAGAGGTTCAAGACATGTGTCTCTCCACAGACATGCTGCATCGCTTGTCTGTGGTCATTGCAGACAGCCCGGTCAACCTGTGTCAAGCCACAGCGGGTTTCACAGGCACCTGGCCACTCCTGCTGGTTACTGTATGCTTGTGTGTTGGTGCGTGCACACTTGAGTGTGATTGAGTGCGCGTGTGCATGTTTGTGTATGTGTGTGCGATGATACCGTTGCATGAATGCTGTCGCTGAGGAGCGATAGATGGTGAAAGTGCAGGACAAAAAGCCTGCGCACAACGCGCTCGTGCCGGCCCCCACTCGATTGTGGTGGATCCGCACGGTGTGTATTGGTGCGGCGTGCTAAATTGAGAAAGTACATCCACTCTAGGGCACATGAAAGCCACCCATCTGAGCCATTGTGAGCCAGGCACGTGCACGCGTTTTTGCGCCGGAGAGCCAGTGCCCAACAGCAGCAACACTCGCCCTCTCTCACCAGCTGCCAGATCCCGGGGCTCTGAGTCAGGACTTGCTTGTCGGTCACACATGCCCTGCAAGCCTTTGGCTCCCCATACCCTTGCGTTTTACGCCGTGGATCCCACAAGCGACCAGGGGAATGAACAGTGTCTCTCCTGGAGGGGCCAGCCATTCTGGCCCTTTTGGCTGCCGCCGCTGCTGCTGCTGCCCACGCGGGCGAGTGGCAAAGAGCATGTATGGTCACTGCCGCGCCACCCGCGTGTGTGGTGAGTGCCTGGCACGGCCTACGCGAGGCCGACCAGCTTCTCGCTGACCTCCCAGAGCTTCACAGCCTTGCCGTCATCCGCCACCTCCTCTGACACCTGGTTCTCAAACGCGCCCTTGGTGTTGGACCAGCTCCAGTAGACGCCGTTCTTGTTGAGAGCCGGGTCGGACACCACCTGCGCCAGGCGCTTGCCGGCCTCCTCCTCGCTGACGTAGCCCTTAGTCACGTACTTCTGGAACAGCGGGAACAGCGTCCTGGGTAGGTTTTGGGGGGTGGATAGGAGCAATTGATCAAGGACGTCAGCAGGGTCAGGTGTGAAATGCACTGCGAGAGAGCGGGATCAGTGAGGCATGAAGAGGATAGGACCAGGCGTGCACAACGGCCGTGCGCGACAGCGGTCACGGCAGCAGCGCCGCCCCAAGCAACCGGGCAGCCCTCCCCTGCACTCCATCATGAAGTGTGGTCCGAGTAAGTGCTGCTGGCACTCACTTGAAAGCGTCGTAGTGCTCGCGGAAAAGGCCGGTCTCGGCGATGCAGCCGGGGTACAGCGACGCGAACTGGACCTTGCTCTTGCCGGCGTAGCGCCGCGTGAATTCGCGCATGGTGAGCATGTTGCAGACCTGCATACAAGGTGCGCAGGTACGGGGTAAGACGAGGGGGGGCAGGGCAACAGCCTGACGCCCTTGGGAACTGACGACCACAACCCCACCCTGCAGCCTGATGCAACAATTGTTTGGGCCTCAACCAGTGCTCGCAACCGTCTTTTGGGGCATTCCGTGGAGCGCTGACACATCATGCGCCAACCTTGGAGTCCTTGTAGGCCTTAGCGCCGTCAAACTCCTTGCCGTCAATCATGACGGCACCGTTAGCCAGGCCCGAAAGATCCCCCAAGTCAGCCTTGGGCGGCACGTTGCCCGCCATGGTGTTGGTGTTGCCCGTGATGGACCCCACAATGACCATGCGGGGGCTGGGGGTGAGGGGTGGGGGAGGACGGGGAGGAGGGAGGCAGGGTGATATGGAGTGATGGATGCTGCCCGCAGGCTCCACCAGCCTTGGCAGATACCCAACCGCAGGGGCTTGTGTAGCAGGCACGCAACACCCTCCAAGGCCTAATCAACTGGGGAGGGCAGGCTGTACCCCAAGTTTGCGCTCACTTGGCCGCGGGCGAGGCCTCCAGGTCCTGGAGGAGCAAGTTGGCCAGCAGGAAGTGGCCCAGGTGGTTGGTGCCCACTGACACCTCAAAGCCGTCAGCAGTGAAGCGCGGCTCCTTGGCAGTGGGCAGGTAGACCGCCGCATTGCACACGAGAGAGTCGATGCGGCGGCCGCTGGCACGGAAGGCATCCACGAACTGGCGCACGCTGTCGAGGCTGGCGAGGTCGAGGTGCATCACGGTGTAGGAGCCGGAGGGGAAGCCCAGGCGCTTGGCGGCGGACACAGCCTTGCTGAAGTCGCGGCAAGCCATGACAACATGCCTGAGGGGGAGGGGCAGCGGGATGACGGGTTTGACGCAGCGGCCCACGGCGGCCAGGGCCTGCAGCACCGTCTCGCCCGCTGCACCCTGCGTCCCCGCGCCACCAGATCACCCTGTCCACGCTTGAGGAAGCCAACTACACACCCACCACTCGCCGCTCTTGGCCAGGGCGGCTGCTGCGTTGAGGCCGAGGCCACTGGAGGCGCCAGTGATGATGACGGTGGGCTTCTGCTCGGTGGCCTTGGCGCTGGTTGACGGCGCGGCGGGCGCGCTCACTGACGCAGTGGCGGCGGCGACCACCTGCACAGGTGAGCCGGGCCGTGCAGCAGGGCCAGGTTGGGCAGATGACAGGCACCAATAACTCTGGTGCTACCACAAGTCATGCGTAGTTCCAGCGCCTCCGAATCCATACTCCATCGCGCGCCAGCGCACCTGCCGGGTTGCCGCAGCGCGGCCGACAGCAGCAATGGGCGAGGCCACACTCGTCATCGCCATGCGAGGAGCAGCGACATGGGTGCTAGTGACTCGAGGAGCAGCCAGACGGGCTCCCGTGCCAGCCTGGCGGGAGGCAGCGGTCTTGAGGGCCATGGCGGTGTGTGCTGCTGGATCTTTCACGAGAGGCAATCGACCAAGCAAATGAAATTCTTGCCGGGTTTTAACTCGTACATGATCTGTGACATAGCCATCGCTACCCGTGCCACTTCCGTCTGCGAAACCCATTTTGCGGGACGTCGCGGGGCCTGTGACGGCCTCATGAGGAATCTCCCAACCATCTCGCGATAATGGCTGCCTGCCGCAACACAAGGCCTTCAATCGCTGCAGCCCGCTTCCGCTGCCTGACCTTGGCTGACCTGGCATGCAGCAGTGCAGCTGTTGGGAGTGTTCTGCGGTGGTGCAAAGCTCAAGCCGGCACCAGCATGCTCTCAGGCGCGACGGGACAGGACTTATCTTTTCAAAATAGATAGCAAGGGACTGCCTGTCCGCAGCTGCTGCACAGCGGGAGCAATGCAGCCATCTTTTGCACCCAGCTGCGACCAGGCCAAACGCGCATGTGACGGCTGCCATCGCGGTTGCTGCTGCCAGGTCATAGGAGTCAAGAAGTGATTGATATTACGTGCATGACACGCCTTTGGTTTAAGCAAATGTGAGGATGACTGAAAACATTGAACATGCAACACCCACAGCAACCAGCCGGTTGACGAGCCGGCAAAAAAGCCGGTCGACTGTGCAGCGTGTGAATATCAGTCACATGGTGTACCCACGCCACAGGCGTGCTTACCTAGAAAGCCAACTTGCTTTTCTGAGCTGCTGGCAGCTGCAATACCGTACAGGGTTGCCACTACTGATAATGGTCCTGTGAGTGCCGTGGCATGCATGCAGGGCTGCGTGGGAGAAATGCCTCAAATCGGCTTTGACGGATGGAAGCTGGAGGGCCCTGGACAAAGCCTTGGGGCCATGTGCGTGGGAGCCGTTTTCCCCCGCGTCACATCGGCGACACGAGCTGGGGGGCGCAGGAGTCATGGCATCGCGAGCAAGGCGCTTAATGTGTGCTGATATTAACACTTATTACCATCAGTTGGTTTGGCATGGAAACCACAATGTGCGTATGCTACTGCGATGCCGAGCTGTCTTGGTCGGGCACTGGCAACCTTCGCTATGGCAGGGACGGAGGCCAAACCGCCTACAGAAACAGCTGCACGGGTCACAGCAACCACCCTGAAGCATGATCAACTCAAACACACTCGTCTATGCTTGTCTTTTGGCGAACAATTTCATGTGACTGCAAGGCAAGACTTGAGGCTGCAGCAACTTGCTGCCTCGAAGGGTGCCCAAAGGAGGTCAACATGAAGATCAAACAGTCAACACACATGGACACCACTAGAAAGCTTAGACCCCACATATGATTATGCAAGAGCCCGCATGTGCAGAGCAGAGTTTATTTACAGTGTCGTTGTGTCTGTGCATGTGCCGCACTGCCGTTGTCGTCCAGGGTTGGCGTTCATGATCGCGTATGATAAAAATACTTTGATGACACCCTCGAAGTTTAGATCGCGGAGAACGCGCACTGCCCAGCCATTGGGACTCTGTTGCACCGCCGTGCCGTGAGCAGCGCGTCGGCTGCACATGCGCACGAATGCAGTGAAGCCAGCGCCACAGGCCTCGCTCGTACATATGGGCGACCAGACTGTGCACCTTCGCACGTGGCCAATACAGAGCCCCAGGCGCTGTGAGTCGCCACGGCTGGTGCAGAGCGCACATGCGGCGTGCGGTGCAGCTGGTGGTGGTGGGCGTCGCTCCAGCGGCGGCGTGGCAGCGGATGCCGGAGCAGATGAGGGGGCGGGCAGCTTCAGGTCTGGGGTCCGGCAGGCGGGATGGCTGTGGAAGCGATTTGGGCACGACCACACCAGCAAGTGGAAGCGCCTCTGGGTAAGCGGGGTGCTCACACGGAGGCAGCGGCAGCCACTGCTCGAACATGATTTTCGGCGCTGCCTGCCTGGCGCATGTCGTTGGCAGCGCCATGCCAAGCAGTGCGATGTAAAGCACAGCCCACAACGGGCCCTTCCGCGCACTCACGAACTTACGCACTCGTGCACATGTCCGCGCCTGTATGCTCGCCTGCTTGCCTCATGGGCAAACACACAGCAGCAGAAGCACGTGCGCGCGCACGCGTGCGCGCGCACACGCCATGCATCTACATCAGCAAACACCACACCCGCATACATGCTGCGCAACTGGATGTATGCTCCCCGCAACTTCCCAGTTTCAATTGTGCGAAGACCGCCTCTGCTACATGGAACCACTCGGTGTAGAGGATACCACACGCCCCGTCAGTCCTGGGTCACCCCACCATCCTGCTGGTGGCAGTGGAATGTTTCGGGCCTCTTGGCAGCTGGAGACAGCATCAGGGGTCGCCTTGCAAGCAGCTAGCGGCGTCTGGGCCGATGGTGGCGGCGGCGTCTTGTCTGGTGTGGTGCGCTACCTGCCGCTGGACCGCATCCCCGTGCGGCCGCTGCCCCACAGGCAGCACGCGCTGGACCCCCTAGAGCGCAGCCACCCCGACATCGGCGTCGCAATAATTGACAACAGGCGCGCCACAGGGGGGCCGGGGGGGGGGGGTGCCGGCGGGAGGGGTCAACATTGTGCCACGGCCTTTTTTTGGCTCCTCCGCTGTACGCCTTGTGCTCAAACCCCCGACAACCGGCCTCCGCCCCTGGCTGCCCCAGGGTCCTCACGGGGCAGCCCCTGGACAGCCCTACCCGCACCGTGTTCAGCGTCGTCGTCGGCTCACACACCCACTACCTGGCGGCAGAGACGCTCGGAGAGGCGCGCCAGTGGGTCACAGCGCTGCGGGAGACGTGGCTGCACTGCTTCGCGCACGCTGCGCGCGCGTCGGGCGGTGGCGCGCTCTCGGGGTCAGCGGCGCTGGGGCAGCGGCTGGCGGCGGAGAATGCGGCGCTTCGCGAGAGCCTCAAGGGACTCAGCGCGCGGCAGTCGGCCGAGGACGGGGAATACTGGAGGTGCGCTCCTGGGGTGACAGTTGAGAAAGTGAGGGCCGGACAAGCGTCGCAGCTGAGTGGGCTGAGTGTAAACCTTAACGATGTGCACCCACATGACCAACGCGCTTTAGCAACGGCGCCAGCACCGCGGCAGAAACGGCGTGCACCCCTACCCACCAGCAACCCTCCATGATTTCTTTCGCCCCAGGCGCTGGGTCGAGGAGCGAGCACGTTCGGAGCTCCTGGCCTCGCGCCTTGAGGCGCTGGTGGCGTACCAGGTGCAGGTGGTGACCGCACCCGATAAGGGCGCAGGCACGTCTGCACGGGTGTACCTTGAAGCATGGGGTTGCGACGGCAAGGAGGGGCCGGGCACAGGAGAGGCGCGGCTGCTGGATGCGGACTCCCCGGTGGCGCCCTTTGCACGCGGCGCAACAGATGAATTCGAGGTTAGAGCATTGCACTTTGGTCCTGGAGGTCGGGAGGGCGACAACCTGGCCTGGGTGCGTGCTTTTCTGGAGCACCTTTCACCCACAGGGCCATCCGGGAGTCATGTCTGCGGGCTCGGCCCTGGCCCTTCTGGACCCACTTGTTGTCTTTGTGCACCACTGCCCTCGTCCTCCCCCCTCCTGCCCCGCAGATCCTGTGCTGTGACGTCGGCATCCCCTCCCTGGTGCGTGTGTGGCACGACAATACGGGGCGCCACCCCGCCTGGCGGCTGGTGCGGCTGTCTATGCGAAAGAAGGGCGCAGCACAGTGGACCCATTTCCCATGCGGCAGGTGCGGTGCATACCTCCTGCAAATGCCTCGGTCTGAGATGCAGGTATATGTAGTCGGGGTTTGGCACGCGGTATGATGGTTGTGGGTTGGGTCCCCACACCACTAACTGCGCCGGACCTCTTGCTGCAAGCAATACACCCACACGACCTACAAACCGTACGCATTTGCAACGGATTCACTTGCGCGCACATAAATGGAAACACTTCCAGGTGGCTGTCCACGGGGCAGGAGGACGGACGCATTTGCCGCGAGCTGCGGACTGGTGACCCATCGGCTGCCACATCGCAGCAGGAAGTGCTGTACCGCATCACAGTCGTCACCAGCGACTTGCGTGGCGCTGGCACGGACGCCAACGTGCATATCACCCTGCATGGCTGCCTGGTAGACGGCGCCAGGCACAGGCTGGGTGGTGGCGCGCACGACTTTGATCGGTGCGTTCAGACCTGATGCCGAGAGGAGGGAAAGCGTGCGCATATCTGATGGGCACGTTATGACAGCGCACTCGCATCCATTAGCATCCCAGTGCAATTGAGTTCTCTGCTGCACCCTCTCGCATTGACCGCACCCACCTCTACCTAGGGGCACCACTGATACGTTTGACGTGTTGGAGTGTGCCGCCCTGGGGGCTGACATCCAGGCTGTGACTATTGGGCACGATGGCACTGGCGCCAGCCCTTGTGGGTGGGATGGCGTCTGCTTCTTGTGGCGGGCTTGCAATTCTTCCGCTGCTTGGCTGGACAGAAACATGTTACACCCCAGCAGTGGACGGCGGGCGGCAGCAGGATCCATCTATGCCTGCTTGCAATGAATGTACTGCCCCTTGCTTCTGCCCCGCTCGTCTCATCCTCACTGAGCTACTCCAAATGCCCCTCAACCCACACGCTCAGCGTGGCACCTTGACAGGGTGGAGGTCACCCGTCAGCCCAAAGGCCCCACCTTTGTATTTCCCTGTGGCCAGTGGCTGGGCCCGGGGCAGGGGAGCAACATTACCTACTGCCGCTTGGCAGCGTCTAGGTGCGCCGATGGCAGCGCCGCTCGCCAAGATTTCAGAGGGCTTCAGACGTGACGCGTGATGGAGCGTGCGGCACGCACGCAGAGGCCTCCGGTCGCACGCCCCCTTCCCCGGCATCAGCTTGACGAGACTTCGCGCCATGATAAACCAACGCAGGGGTGTTGCAGTTGCGCAGAAGACCTGGTACGTGCTCACAGTGACCACCAGCAACCTGCGAGGCGCCGGCAACGACGCTGAGGTGTATGCGGCACTGGAAGGCAGCTCATGCCGCAGCGAGCGGGAGGTGTTGCCAAGCGGCCCAGGCACCTTCTCTCGCGGCCGGCAAGACACCTTCAGGTGCAACGAGGGGGCTGCAGGGTGCTTCTCCTGATGTAGCTGGCGGCCAGCGGCCCCTTATGCCCCACACCCCTCGCATCAGAGCTCCTATGTTTTCCAACGCTCTCCCTCCTTCCAACCTCAAACTTCCCATGGGTGGGCCCTCCTGCAGGCTGCACCTTTCCTATCTGGGTGATGTCCAGCGCCTGACACTGGGGATCGCCAGCACCAGCGGCGTGGCTGAGCCCGGGCCCTCCTGGCATGTGGCAGTGGCACAGGTTGAGGAGGAGGCCACCGGCAGGAGGTGGCACTTTGAAGGTGGGTTCGGATCTTGTAGGATAGATGAAGCCAAGGTTCTACGCTGATGATGGGCTGATGATGGGCTGATGATGGGCGTTGCAGTGTTCTAAACAAACCGGTTCCTGGCGCTGCGCATTGACCGCCACCCCTTCCCTCCTGGCCTCAAAGCGCACCGGTGGTTAGGGAGAGGCGTCGGAGACGGCACTTGCGAAGTGACACTGGCGGCAACTTCAGAGCCGCTGGAGCCACAAAAGGAGCAATTCACGGTTGGTTGCCCACCAAATCTCAACCCCCCCCCCCACTCACGCCCCGCCAGTCCCCCAAGTAGAGGAGCCTCACAGCAAGGCCCCCTTGCCCGCAAGCCACATGGCCAGCCTTGCGTAGAAGCAATGATATCGGTGCTTCGCTTGCTGCTGGCAGGCGCGTCCTCCATGAACACGGCTCCCCTGTGGCCACTGCAGGTAACCTTCCACACTGGCACGCTGCGTGGGGCCGGCACCGACGCCGCCGTCTGGTTTGAGCTGCTGGATGACGCCGGCGCCACCACCGGCCCCGTCCGCACCCCGGCTGGCGCCGGTGCATTCCAGCGCGGCGCCGCCGACTCTTTTCCGCTGGAGCTGCCGCGCCTGGGGCGGCTGGCGCGGCTGGCGGTGTGGCATGATGGCTGCAGTGAGGGCAGCGCCTGGTACCTGCACCACGTGGGCGTGCAGCGTGGGCACGGCGCAGGCGGAGGCAGTCCAGACCAGGTGGGTCCAGGGTGACGCGGTGATGGGGACAGACGAGGTGGGGCCAGGCGCTTAAAGTGCGTGCTTATGTTTCTCATGCACTCAGTGGAAAAGCACATGCTGTATACACTCCAAATAGTGCCGACACAGCCATGGCCCTGCTGATGCTCAAGACCATGACCCCAAACGCTGTCATTTTGCGCCGCAGGCCGCCACAACCTTCTTCCCCTGCCGCCGTTGGCTTGCACCCCCAACGCCACGCGCGGAGTTGTTGCCCGGCCCCGCGCCCCCGCCTGCCGCACACTACAGGCTCGAAATTGCGACAGCCAGCACCAGGGGCTCAGGGACCGACGCTGCAGTCAGCATCGAGGTCTTTGGACCAGGGCCCGGCCACGGCGGCAGCAGCGGTGCACCCCTGCGCCAGTCGGGCCCGCACCGCCTAGACCGCCCCGGCGCGTTTGAGCGGGGTGCGGTCGACGCATTTGAGGTGTGCGAGGCAGAGGAGGAGCTGGGGCTGCCCTGCGCACTGAGGGTGGCGACAGACGGCACGGGTGCGCGGCCGGGGTGGCGGCTGGAATGCATCACGCTACACATCTTGGACGGGCCAGGGGGCAAGGCTGTGGCGAGCCTCAACTTCCCTGCAGACAGGTGGGCAGTGCTGCACTGCACAAGGAATCAGTGCTGTGCACGGCCAACATCAGTGCGATTTTGTGATGTAATGTGGCAACGCACTGCGTGCCACTCAGCTCGTCTGGCAGACAAGTGCTAACTTCTCATACCAGATTCGCTCCATGCGCACCACAATGATCGCACTTAATGTTTCCCAGGTGGCTGGATGCCCGATCTGGCTTTGAGGCGCACCTTACACCCGCGCCAACGCCCATGAGCCGCCCCATGGTCTCATACACCCTGCGCGTGCGCACGTCAGACTTGCGGGGTGCCGGCAGCGACGCGGCGGTGGAGGTTGAGCTGCTAGGGGAGGCGGGGCGCAGCGGTTGGCAGCGGCTGCTGGCCAACAGCGATGCATTTGCACGCAACAAGGTGGGCTGTTGACGCTGGCACGGGAGGGAGGCGTCGCGCCAAACATGCCGAGTACTGCGTCTGGTGCGCATGTCCCTGCTGGCTGAATGCCACCCATTCCCGTTCTGGAGCAGTCTTGGCCCATCAAGCAGAGCCAGCCAGCATGCATCCTCTCTGAAACGAGCTCGCCTCAAACCCCCCCGGATGTGACACCCGGCAGGAGGACTCGTTCACGCTGCAGCTGCCGGATGTGGGGCCGCTGCGCCAGCTGGGGGTACGCTCTGACAATATGGGCGCAACCCCCGCATGGCATCTCAACACCGTGTGTGTCACCGCTGCGCCCAAGCAGCAGCAGCAGCAGCAGCAGCAGCAGCAGCAGCAGCAGCAGCAGCAGCAGCCCCGATCCTGGTGGTTTGTCGCGCGCCGTTGGCTGGACGAGTCCCATGGCCTGGAGGTGCTGCTGGACGCCCGTGACAGGGACCCCGGGTGCGAGGACACCAAGGGTTACACCATCACTGTGACGACCAGTGACATCAGGTGAGCGCATGGGTCGGCTGCGGCAAGCAATCCTGCTGCCTTACTTCCCGCTGTGAAGTTTACCACCCGGGCTTCAAGGCCGCTGTTGTTGGCTCCGAAAGAGAGGCTGTGCGCCTGTCAACTGACCACCGGTCACGTGCAGAGCCAGACTGACACCGCGCCCCGCCTGGTGGCCGCCGCCCCAACTCAAGGGGCGCTGGGACGGACGCTGGCGTGTCTGTTGAGATTTTCGGCACAGCCGGCTGCAGCGGACCTCGCACGCTCGACCCGGGCCCCTCACGCCCAGGCGCTTTCTCGCGTGGCGCCTTGGATTCGTTTGAGCTCAGTCTACCGCCCCTGGGGGCGCTGCAGCGCCTGCGCGTTTCAACGGATGGACGGGGCTCGGCATGGCACCTGGCCTTGGTCACTGTGGCAGAAGAGGGCCGTGGCGGTGGGACATCCAGCGTTGCGCTCCTGGGCGAGGTGTTGTGTTGGCCAGGCCCGGCACGAGCAGGGCAGCATTGAATGCTTATATGGGCTGTAGCGGCAGCTGGATCCCTGGACCCGTGGACGCCTGCAGACTTTTGCCACCCCGACTTGCTCATATGGACCCCCCCTGGCAGGGGCTGTCTGGTACTTCCCCTTTGGAAAATGGCTGGGCGGCGGCGCACCCTGCTTCGCTGAGGTTAACGCTTCCACCTTGGACCCTAGGGCTGCGCTTAAGAACTACAAGGTGCGCTGAACTGACAAGGCCCCAAATATCCAGGAAACTCAGGCATTGTGCTGCATCACACCATAAGCATCCCTGCTAAACTGCGGCCCCAGCTGCAGAGCTGGGCTTGTATGCCGGAAGGTCTCCTCACTTTCAGGCTGACCCACTCGCCCACCTCTAGCTCGGGTGGCCACGTGTCAACGTAAACCCAAGCGCACCACCCCACACAGGTAGTGGTACGCACCTCGAACGAGCGTGGCGCTGGCACCGATGCAGACCCCTACCTTGAGCTTGTGGCCGCGACCGGAAAAACCAGTGGCCGGCGCGCTCTGCGTGGGTCCTTCACTCGAGGCGCTATCGACCAGCTTGAGCTCTCACTGCCAGACGTGGGTCCTGAGCTGACAGAGTGTGTGGTGGGCCATGACGGCCGAGGAGAGGCAGCTGGCTGGCACCTGGAGCAGGTGGGTGTAGAGTTATTCGAGCGCTCGTTTGGTGCGTCGCTGCACTCACCTGTAACGTTGTCCATCACAGGGCTGCGTCTGCTGTTGCCTGAACAAGCTGTGCGTGGCGGTGCATGACAGGGATCCATACCCTCACAACCAGGCTCGCACGACGCTGATCCTGCGGCCCCGTTGGCTCACATGAATTCAGGTGGAGGTCACGGACGCCGCCGCAGGCGTCACCTGGTTCTTCGACGCTCGCTGCTGGCTGGACGCGAGCCAGGGGGACGGCTTGACCGAGCGGCGGCTGAGGGCCTCGCGGGAAGACCCCCGAAGCACACGCGCAGCATACCAGGTGTGCGGGCGATACAAACACACAATTTGAGACTGGCAGCAGCGACCGTTATCAAACCTTTGCTGCTATCATGCATGTGCTCAGGCAACATCATGCGCCCACACCTCGACAACCCTTGCCGCCAGGTGGTGGTGCACACCAGCGACCGACCAGGGGCTGGCCTTGCGCCACTGGGCGCCCATGTGATTGTAGAGCTGGTGGGGGACAGCGCCTGCATGGGGCCGGTCACCCTGAGCGCACTCACAGCAGACGACGGACATCAGGGGCGTGGAAATGGCGTCAAGGCTGCGCACCGCCGGTTCGGGCGCGGCGCCGTTGACAAGTTCTTGCTGCCGCCTTCGCGTGATTGTGGGGAGCTGCAGCTCCTGCGTGTCCGTGTGGAGGGCAAGGTGAGCAACACCCTCTGGTATAAGACCTGTGTGTTGGCTTGGCAGCAAGTGCACTCTGGGTGCAACATATGTTGAGAGCGCCACAAAGGCTGGTGCTTCTCAGCCTTTTTAGTCGCCACTTGCGAGGGCTACACCGGGACCTGTTGTAAGGATCCAGCGCTGTTAACTCCTGTGTATAAAAGTTCCAACCTTATCTCCTCCACAGGCCACCGCATGGCACCTCTCCCGCATCGAGGTTGCCCAAACCACGTCCGGCCGCCGGTGGTTGTTCCCCTGCGCGGCATGGCTGGGTGCAGGCAGGGGCCAAGGCCGCGAGAATCGCGAGCTGCTTCCGCTGTCAGCGGGGTGTTGCCCCCCGGAGGCTGAGGATGAGCCCTGGGAGCTGTCCGTCACAACATCGGACGTGCCAGGTGCAGGGCTCACAGCCGGCCTGGGCAACAAGCCGCCTGCTGTGTGCATGCGGCTGGTGGGGCCCGAGGGCGAGGCAGGGCCCTTCGAGCTAGGCCCAGCGACTGCGGCTGCCGCGGCAGATGGTGTGCCGGAGGGCGGCAATGCTGACAGCTTGTTTGGGTGCGGCCGGACAACAGCCTTCGTGGTGGATATAGCGAAGGGGGCGCTGGGTCATGAGCTGCAGCAGCTGCAGGTGCGGGCGTCGTAGAGGAAGGTGGGATGGGCCGTGTGCTTCGCCCACTGCACTGGTGATATCCCAACTGGCGCCGTTGGAGCTGACAGAATGGCTCTCAGGGAATTGCGCTCCTGGTTATTGCTGAGCGACTCACACACGCACCAAACTTGGTCTGGCTTGTGCGCTTTTACCTGGACACATGCTTCACCACCACCATTTTGGTGAGGCGGGCATTTCGAATGCAAATAATCCCTCCTTTGATGTGACAAATGCCCCGCAGGTGTGGCTTGAGGGTGACAAGCTGTCGTTGCAGCCTGGTGACAGGGAGGCCTCCTGGAACCTGGAGGCGGTCCGCGCGACGCGGCTCTCAGATGGCGCCCGCTGGTGGTTCTGGTGTGGCACGTGGCTGGGCTCGGCGTCCAGGCAGCGGCATGAGATGGCGGCCCTCACGAGCGACCCCCGGGGACGCGCCGTGCGGTACAAGGTGCGATTCTGGAGTCGGGATCAAAAGATGGTTGTTGACGGCACGCATTGTCGACAAACCTTTATCAATGTGCTACACCTTGGCGCGAGGCCGCTTGCGATGACCAGCCCACTGCTGTCATGGACCCACACACCCGCACGCGTGCCGACCCCCCACGACTGGCGAGAGCAGGTCACCACCTTCACAGGCAGTGTGTTGGGCGCGGCAGCATCATCGCATGTGTACATTGACCTGAGCGGCTCAGCGGGCAGCAGTGGGCCCCTGGAGCTACGCCCTGTGCCGGGCGGGAGCAATGCATTTGCCCCGGGCGTCTCGGCGTCATTTGTGGTGTCGATGCCCACTGATCTGGGGGACCTGTGTCGGCTGAGGGTGTGGCATGATGGCGCGGGGCCGTCCCCAGGGTGGCACCTGGACAGGGCCGAGGTGCAGCACTGCGGTAGCGGGAAGGTGGGTTGAGGCTCAAGTCGAGCTGCGGGGAAGCTTGCACGAGGCAACATGGTTGACGTGTGGTGCCACTGTTGCCTGGGTTGATTTCTTGCCGGCCACACCCTCCATCGCCGTGACGTGTGACTTCTGCTTACGACCGCGCAATCAGGTCTGGTACTTTGCCTGTGACCGCTGGCTAGATGCCAGCCGTGACGACGGCGCCGTCACCCGATCACTGGTAGCCAGCAACACTCCGCCTGGCGCACCAGCTCAGCCGGAGCCTGGACAGCAGGAGCCGCCGCAGGACGAGGCGGGCCAGCTGCACCAGGTGGCGGATGATGCCAACGGCGGCAGTGGGGTCAACGCAGCGCGTCAGCCAGGGCGGTGTGACTACTGGGTGGAGGTCCAGACCGGCGGGGACGAGGGCGCTGGAACAGACTGTCGCGTTTTCGTTCAGATTTGTGGCAAAAGTGGCAAGACAGCGACGCAGCAGTTGTGCACAGACGCTCTTGAAGTGTGCCAGCAGCAGCAGCCACAGCAGCAGCAGCAGCAGCAGCAACAGCATCAGCGGCAGCGGCTCAGGGCCTCATCTAAGCAGCCACAGCCGGCCATGGGCAGTGATGGTGATGGGCAGCTGTTATTTCAGAGGGGTGCGCTGGATTCGTTCGTGCTGCGGTCTCTGGCAGATGTCGGGCGGATGACGTGCCTCACCATAGGCCACGACGGCTCTGGCAGCTGCAGCGGTGAGTGGCCCGGCGAAGAAATTGGCCTTTGCTTGAATGCATATGAACATGGTGCAGTTAGATGTCAGCACTCCCCGCACAGCGCAACCAGTCGCACCCCTCATCTCCGCAATATCCACCCCCAACCGCAAACTAAAATGCAGCTTGGCAGCTGGCCTGGGTGCGCATCACGAACCTCCTCAGTGGCGAGTGTACCTTCTTCCCAGCTTCCATTTGGCTGGACAGCGCCGCTCACGGCAGCCGCAGCTGGGTGGAGCTTCATCCGAGACGTGAGGGCAGCGAACACAAGGACTCCCCAGGGGACTCACTCTGGCGTGGCGATGATGCGATTCCTGCGTTTCGGGGCCGCGGACGGCTCAGCCCGCTGCCGTCTGCCGACACGGCAGGGGATGTGGCGTTGGAGCGCATCAAGCATCTGGGCCTGTCTGTGCGCTCTGGTCAGCCGGGCTACAAGGTGGTCTTCAAGACCAGCAGCATGCTGGGGGCCGGCACGGCGGCGCGCGTGTTTTTTGAGCTGGTGGGCGAACAGGGCTCTTCCGGCATCGCATACGTGGGCAGGGGCGAGGGCGGAGGCGGGTTTGACCGCGGCGGCATCTCCAGCCTGCTGTTCCCGCGGCTGCCCCACATCGGCTCACTGCGGCAGCTGCGCGTCGGCACGGACGGCAGCGGGCTGTTTGCGCCTTGGCACCTGCGCCGCGTGGAGGTGGTGCATGTCGCGTCTGGGGATCGATGGGTGTTCGATGCGCACGCCTGGATTGATCAGCGCTGCGACTACCAGAGGATCCTGCCCGTGTCGCAGTTTGACCCCGGGCGCGAGGGGGCGGGCAGCAGGGCGTGCGACGCTGCGGGGCGGGAGGGTGGGTGCACAAGGAACATGCTGTGTGGTGGATGCTGCACGCGGCCATGATGTGTAACCCGGGCCTCTTCTAGGTGTCAAGGCATGCGTTACCCGTAATGCAGGTTACACAAACCAATTAGCCAGCAGAAGGCAGTTTGACAAGGCCACTGTCATGATACCATTTATGATGGTTTAGCAGCTACACAACCGCCTGCCCACTTTCAGTCATCGGCCCACTTTGAAATGTGGAACACACAAACGAAACTGGTGATGCCAGCCCAGCAGCGGCATGACTGAAAGCAGTTCACGCAAACTCCGCCGCAGCTGGGCGCCGATTACAACGGCCGGGCGGCTGCGGACTACCTCCTCTTAGTCATGCTGACGCTCTCCCGCTTGAGCACCGTGAGCAGCGTCTGGCTGCTCTCCAGGATCTTGAGGTAGGCCGCCTCCGTCTCCTGGATCACCTGGGGGACGCACGAGGCAGTCAGGCAGTTAGCGGTCAGTTGGCACAGTGTCACATGCGGCCCTGCTGGTGAAGGAGGCCGGGAGATTGTGAAATCGGGCTGTCACCCCCTGTGCAGGGGGCGCCCGGCTCAGGTTGCACAACGCCCGCGTGTGCCGCCGGCTGGCTGAGTCGGCAAAGCGCGTCACCGGCAGAATGACGCGCGCTGGGGTGTGCGGCTGTCGTACGAGTGCGACTGGGTCGCTGCTGGCGTGCACCCGTGCCCTTGCACTGGGTGCGCGGCAAGCACCAAAGGGCACGGCCCAAATCAGCGCCCATCGTGGTCCCTTGGGATGCTGCAGCAAGGGCTGCGCACCTTGTCATACTCATTCTTGGTATCCAGCTGGAGTGGAAATGAAGTTTGGGTCAGGGACAAGCTTAGGCTCTTGCAGTCTCAACAGCTTTTAGGGGCAGTTTATTTTGGCTCGTACGGGCTGGCAATGTTTCACACAGACCTACAATATGACCCCTTGCCTCACTCTTCTGACCCCACACACCTTGCGTGCTAGGGATTCATTGATGGCTGCCAGCCTTTTTGTCAGCTGCTGCAGCTCCACTTGAATCTGTGCGGTTGTGCGATGCAGATCTTGACACACACGTGTTGGACGGCAGTCCATGGAATTGGGCTGTGAGTTTGCATTGCCCCGACCTCTGCTGCTGCCTGTGCATTCACATATGGTGCAGTCACCGCTGCCGCTGCAGTCAATCGTGGCGGTCGTCGAGCGAATGCCGACCTTCATCTTCTCAGACTCCTCGTCTGCAATCTGCTTCAGCATGCCTTCACGCTTCTCACGAAGATCCTCTATGCCTGCTCAGCAGCAGCATGGAGCATGTTGTGTGGAATTTTTGGCAGGTGGCGTGCGTCACGGAGCACTGTGTGGATAACTGGCACCCGAAACGTGCAGCAGCAGCTGCTGCAGCGCCGGCGCGCCGGCTGCTGATGCGCTGAGCGGTGTGATACCAGTGGCCGGAGGTGCAGCCGTTCAAAGGGCGGGCCCCAATCCTCAATATATGCTCTATAAGTGACAAGCCTTGACATTGCTTGTCTTCTTGTGTGTTGAAAAGCAGGGGCAACAGTCAATGGTCAAAGCCATATAGCAGCGCTACGCACTCACACTTGACCAACTCTGCGTTCGAAGACTGCAGCGCCGCCCCCTGAGCAGCCATGATTCTCTTACGACTCTCAAAGAGCGCCGAGAGCTGGTGTTGGGCTCCTGTTCAAGGCCTCGGCTTGTCAGCACGGTCTAGGCGATGTGAACGATGAGTTATATTGAGCAGATAGATGGTGAATGACCTAGTTAAATTTCTCGATGAAGTCAGGTGCTGGTCGTGAAGCAGATCACGCACTTCATCACTCCGGTGCCGCACCTGCCTCGCCTGCTGCACCACTACTCAAAGCGCGGTTCGCCCCACTCACCAGACTCACCTCTTCTGGTTTATTGTGGGCACCTATTGAGTTCGAGAGCTTCGCGCAGTGCTTGCTGATCACGCCCCGCCTCAACCGAGGACACCGAGCTGCCGGTCCAGGGCACGCAGCAGCCATGAGCAGGGAGAGAGGCTATGATCGTGATAGGTCCTACAGCCCCCGGCGGCGCAGCCCGGCACGCGGGCGTGGCAGGAGCGCAAGCCGGAGCCCGCCGCGGGGTGGCAGCGACAGCCGCCGCAGCCCAGCGGGCGACCGCGCCGAGCCGACGGGCACCAGCATGATGGTGCGCAACCTCTCGCGCACAACGCGCCCGGAGGATCTGCGTTATGCCTGCGAGAAGTATGGCCGTGTCCGCGACATCTACCTGCCGCGCGACTTCTACACCCAGTGAGTCTAATCCCAGCACCAGAGTCACAGTGCTCCTGTGGTTATGCGTTGTGCCTGGCACGACGCTGTGCTTGGCCCCCAGGTCCGGTTTCAGGTGCACACCGCGGGCAGCGCAGCGTCAGGGAGGCCTTGCGCGTGCTGCTGGCACAAATTCCCTGCTTGTCCCAAACCTGACTGGACACCAACGCATCACAATAACACTCGCCCCACAGGCAGCCGCGCGGCATCGGATTTGTGGAGTTTGCTGATCCGCGCGACTGTCGTGATGCGATCCGCTACATGGATGGAGTCATGCTGGACGGGCGCAGGGTGAGCGCGGGGCTGGGGGCCTGGGTTTTGGCGCAGAGTTTGCATTTGTCGTGATAAGCCGGGGGTGGGCGAGGGCTGGACACGGCGGGCTTCACAGATAGGCTTGGGGGTTCCAGCAGGCAGGCTTGACCTGGGCTTGCTCGTGTCCCGTGCTCTGAGTCGCACCGGCACTCAGACCGTGTGCAAACTGCCGTTTGGCACCACCCACCCCTGAACTTCCTCCACAGGTTGGCTGCAACCTGGCGCTGCATGGGCGCCGCAAGCCGGAGGACATGCTGGCGCGGGGCGGTGAGGGGCCAGGTGGTGCATGACAGGCTTGTTCCGCGAACCGGCAAGGGGGTGAATTGAGGATTGCGACCCCTAACGCATTCCCTACATACCAGCAGCGCTCCCTTAGCTGTTGTGCGCTGGCTTTGCAGCTTGGCAGGCTTCTCGCGTGCCGCTGCCGCTGCTGCGGCTGCAGCGTTCATTCATATCTCGCCCCCCTCGCCCTGCTTGGCAATCTCAGACGCCCCGGCACAGAGGGGAGGCGGCGGCTATGGGGGCGGCGGTGGTTACGGAGGCGGCGGGGTGGTTACAGGGGTGGTGGCGGCGGCTACGGTCGCCGCAGCCGCAGCCGCAGTCGCAGCGCGGACCGTCGCCGCGACCGCAGCTACAGCCCTGCTGACAGGGGCCGTGGCCGCAGCAGGAGCAGGAGTCCACGCAATGACCGCCGCCGCAGCCTCAGCCGCGACCGCGGCAACGGGGACGCCCGGGCCAGGAGCCGCAGCGGCAGCCCGCGCGGTGGTGACCGCAGGCGCAGCCCCAGCCGCAGCCCACGCCCCAGGGATGGTTCGCCGCCGCCGCGGTCGCCGTCCAGGTCCCCAGTTCGCGATGCTGGCGGCAACGACGGCCGCCGCGATGACGACGACGGGGGCCGCCGCAACTCGCCACGCCCCGATCACTCGCCCAATGGCCGCGACTGAGGCCCTGCCCATCGCAGTCTGCGGGGCGGACAGTCCGGCAGGGGCCGTTTCAGCCTCAGCAGCATTCCTAGGGCTTGGCGATGCAAGGGGGCAACGGCAACTGATTTGGGAGCATGCTGCGGAGTGAAGGCTGCGGGCTGCTGGGGGTGGCTGCGCCACGGCGGGTGTCCCATATCTACAAGGAGGCCGCTCGCAAGCGGCGGGCGGCGCGCAGGGCGCAGAAGTTTGTGGGGTGGCAAAATGTCGAAGGCGGCCTCCAGCCAGGCTTCCATTGTGCGTGGCAAGATGCTGTGGTGTGTTGCTGTGCAGCCAGAGCCCCATGCGCAAGCCGTACATGCGTTTCTGCAGCATTGTGTTGGCTCGCTCCCCACGAGCCCCCGGCTCCGCGCGCGCCTCACGGCTCTCCAGGTCAAGCGCCTTCGCGTTTGTCCGTGATGAACGATGCTGACGAGATATGATGAGGCGGCGCCGAGAGGCTGGCCTGTGACGATGATGGCGGGCAGCGCCACCGCAACAACCCGTATCGTGCTGCCCCAAAACTACTCGTGACCTGATCAACAGCCTCAAGGCGCCGCATCTGGGAGACCAGGGTCGCCGCCCTTTCCACTTTTCAAGGCTATCGCTTTTCAAGGTTAGCGCGAGCTGCTCGCTAGCAAAGATGGGACTAAAAGCTGGTGTTGCTCTCTGTTTTTGAAGCGCAGCGGCAGGGTGGAAGCTGGGGCTTGGGACAGGTAAGCAGATGCGCGCGTCCGCTGGCCGCTTGCATGCACGCGCCTGGGGTTGAGTTGGGGTGGCTAGGCATTTTGTTACGCTGGCTTCGTGTTGGCTGCTAGCAATGGGGGTTCTGCTGCGGGTTCCGTGCCATTTGCTGGTGTTGAGCATCACGATGTTCCACATGCTTTGTGGTGATGCAAGCATGTCTGTAATTATGGCCGCCTTCGCTACGCGTTTGTGGTGCTTTATACAACCCTGCAGCAAGTCGCATCGCCTTGGTGCGGGACGCCCCGCTAGGCGGCCTGGGGCCTCATGTCTTTGGGTGACCTGTCATGTCGTGCTATTGAGCAGCATGGTGCATGATGGGAGCAGCATGGTACGCACTGGCAGCTGATGCTGGCTTCCCGCGTTTGAAAAATGCTCTGTCAGCAAAAACCATCCGGCTTGAGAAGATGACTGATGGCGGGGTTTGTTCATCAGTGCCCTTGAGCTCAATCACTGCTTGCAAATTGCGTGCAGGTCAGAGAATCTGGATGGTCCTCAAAATCCTGGTACCAATCATACTGGTACCAGGATTTTGAGGACCATCCAGATATCGCGCCATGGCTGCCTCAGCAGTTAGTGTCTCATGTCTTTGACGCCATGCGGCCATCCGAGGGTGCCACCCGTTCTGAGTATCATAAGTTTATTATAACTTGCAAGAAATCAAATGCATCCATTGAACGTTGCATGCATCATGGCGGCGGGCATGTTGCATCGTGTCGCCTGCACGACTCATACAGGTCACCGTGGCGGGCTTTTCCTTTGCAGGTTCGATCGAGCTATTCCGTTGCCAAATACATCCCAGATTGATTCAATCAATTATTTGCTCAATCAAGCTTTCATATATCCACCAAGACTCGCTGACCACCATGCATTCCCTCGCTCAAGCTCACGGAGTACGTGCGTGCGCCCACCAGGCTCAGGCGAAGCGACTGCCGGTTCTTCCGGTGAAGGCCCCCGCACGCGGTGGGTCTGCAGGCGGACTCTCGCTGTTCGGTCCGAAACATGCAAGCAGCAGGCTGTGGGTGTGCGCCACTCCCTCAGCAACGCAATTATGGCCATATTCTTGCTCTGCACCGCTCGCTTGCCAGGAGCAGGGCATGCGCTTCGCAGGCTTGCGCCCGTCCACATGAGGGCCGCTGCTGTGTCGCCAGCCGCGCCCGCTGCGGACAGCGACATCTCCAAGCTTCCCCACTGGCAACAGGCCCTGCTCGAAGCTGGTGAGCAGGCGGGCGTTGTATTTTCAGCGTACGAGCCTGGGTTCTTGGCCATATGGGTCTTGTCCACAGCGTGCACAGTTGCAAAAAGTTGAATCTTCTTGACTCGCGGATGGTTTCGTGCAGTGCCCTTGCTACATGCCGGCGATGCCTGCTGTCTGCGCAAGTGACCATGCACCCCTCCTGCCCCTCCCGTCACAACCCGCCGCTCACAACCCTTCGCGCTCCATCCCCACCGCATGCACCCACTGCCCCTTACGCTTTGCTCACAGGCAAGGAGGACGGCCGCAAGCTGATGGTGGTGCAGACAGCTCCCGCCGTGCGTGTCGCCATCTCAGAGACACTGGGCCTGGCCCCCGGCGCCGTCACCGCCAACCAGATGGTCACGGCCCTCAAGATGCTGGGCTTTGATTATGTCTTTGGTGCGCTTAGCGGGCTTGGGGCACTTTATCATGTTCCGTCCATACTGGCTGCCTTGCTGCGTCGGCAAGGGGCTGGGCTTTCCCCCAGACCGTGCCTACGCCCACTCACACCAGGCGCTTCTTCTTGTGTGGATTTCCCTGTGGCTTGTAGCTGTGCGGCCGCACCCACTGCTGAGCCCTGTGCCCGGCCCCCTGGCCCCATCACAACCTGCGGCGCCCCCAGACACGCTGTTTGCTGCCGACCTGACCATCATGGAGGAGGGCACTGAGCTGCTGCACCGCCTGGAGGCCAAGGCGGCCGAGCGCACCGCCATGCCCGCCACGGCCCCCGAGGGGGGCCACGCCGCCAGCTCCGTCCTGCCCATGTTCACGTCCTGCTGCCCAGGCTGGGTGGCCATGGTGGAGAAGTCCAACCCCGAGCTCATTCCCTTCCTGTCAACATGCAAGAGGTAGGCCAGCATCCCCTGCGGATTGAAGGGTGGGGGGCTCGGCGGCTTGCCGGGCTTTGGCAAGGTGGCGGTGCCAAGGATGTCACCGCCAGGGGTGTGAAGCAACCCTCTATGCCCCTGGACATGTAAAAGCAAAACGCAGTGGCAGCAAATGCATCAAGTAGTGCAGCTGCCGTCCTAGCTACCCGGACCAACAGTGACAAAATGCACCGCTCATTGGGTCACCGCGTGCTTGCCTTTCCCCGCAGCCCCCAGATGATGATGGGCGCTGTCGTCAAGGGCTACTTCAGCACGGTGGCCGGCGTCCAGCCCGAGGACATCTGCAGCGTCAGCGTGATGCCCTGCGTGCGCAAGCAGGGTGAGGCCGACCGCGAGTGGTTTGTGACAGACGTGGTGGCAAAGGAGGCGTGCGGCAGCACCGTGCGTGATGTCGATCATGTGATGACGACTGCGGAACTGGGGAAGATATTGGTGGAGCGCGGCATCGACCTTGCGGTGAGGGGCTGGGCAAGCAGAGGGGGGAAGGAGCCAGGTTGGTGATGTGATCTCAAACAATGGGTGCTGCCTTAACATGCGTCAAGGCCGGGGACACGGAGCCAAGTAGGAATGTTGTTAGGAGGGGGTGTAACGCTTAGTACGGCCTTGGCGCTTCCATCATTTAGGCTCAAATTTGCAAACCTCACCCGCCTCGATTTACCTCAAACATGCCACCTCTGCAGAACCTGCCTGAGACGCCCTACGACAACCCCATTGGGGACGGGTCCGGCGGCGGCCTGCTGTTTGGAACCACTGGCGGCGTGATGGAGGCAGCCCTGCGCACCGTGTATGAGCTTGTGAGCGGCGATCGCCTGGAGCGCCTTAACTTTGATGCGGCGCGCGGTCTCGACGGCATCAAGGAGACCACCGTCACCATGCACCCGCCAGAGGGGTCTCCCTTCAAGGTGCTGGAGTCTGAGCCAGGCGCGGGCGTGACACTGCGCATCGCCGTCGCCAACGGCCTGGGCAACGCCAAGAAGGTGGGCGGGTCCCAGATTCTCTGAGTGCGTGCGGTGTCATGGGGTCCGGCAGTGAGCGCCGCTTTTTGCGCCTTCTTGGCCACCTGGCCCTGCTGCATCCCGTGTTCACCCTGACCCCACCGTTTGCAACCTCCAACTCACACCCGTTTTCCAGGTGATCAAGGGCGTGGCTGACGGCAGCCTGGCCTACGACTTCATCGAGGTCATGGCCTGCCCCGGCGGCTGCATCGGCGGCGGCGGCCAGCCCCGCAGCACCGACAAGACCATCCTGCAGAAGCGCCAGGCGGTGAGGCGCGATGCAGGCAGAGCTCGCTCTCTCCCTCCACTGCACAGGGGTCGTCGTGCACACCGGGCGTGTCAACCATGTGCCTGTGGTGCCCTGTGCCATCTGCGGAGCAGTTGTTGCGAGCGACTAATTCCTGTCTTTTTGTGTCGTCCATCCATCAAAATTGCCCTCAACGCTTGCCTTGCCCGTCCCCGCTGCCCCCAGGCCATGTATACCCTGGACGAGAGGGCCACACTGCGTCGCTGCCATGACAACCCCCAGATCACGGCGCTGTACGAGAAGTGGCTCGGCAAGCCCAACAGCCACCTTGCGCACGAGCGGCTACACACTCACTACGTTGCAGGCGGGGTTGAGGGCGAGAAGTGAGATGTGGCAAGCTGCGGGACTCTCGTTCCAGCAGTAGGCGCATGCCACGAACTTGCTGACCAGGCAGTCCGCAGCATCCTGCCAGATGGCTGGCACTGTGCCCCATGCTGCGGTGCCTCACCCTGCTGTTCTTCATAGATACAAGCCCTCATTACCTTTCGAAGGGCCATTGCACGCACTTTTTGCGGCCCGGGCTGCTGCAGATTCGCAAGTGGGGCCTTCGATGCACACGCGAAGAGCTGGTCGTTCAGCTCCCCGTCCGTGTCAATGCGCCCCCTTCCTGCATGCATTCATATAACCTACGCATTGACCCCGTCGCCACAGCCATGCAAGCGTGCTGCATCACCATGCCCTGCCGGTTCAAGGCAGGGCGCGCGCAGCGCACGCCGTCCAGGCAACTCATCTGGCAGTCGTCCGACGCTTTGGCGGAAACCTTCCAACCTACAACTCGCTAAACTCAGGGATGAACCTGGAATTTGATTGCTGCACTGGCATGGGTGTCGATAACATCCTTGTGTCAGTATTTTCAAACATTTGCGGCATGCAGAGCCTTTGCCCATCTGGCCGATTTCACGCGTGCGGCTGGTTCAACACTGCTCGCCCATCGGCGAGTACCTCTCAGAAGCCGTCGCGATGCCCTCATCTGCAGCACGGCAAACGTTCCGCGATGATCCTGTATTTTTTTGCAGAACTGCGCATTAGTTAGATAGACCGCCGGGCCAGTAATTACACCCAGGATGCTTTTGGGGGAGGCAAGGAGTTATCAGGGAGGGTGGCGGACTGCCACCTCACTCAGCCTTTTAAGGGCAGGGAGACAGTTTAGATACATTCATATGCTCCAGCCTTGCAATGAAGCTTCTACCGCTGGGGACTCGTGTGCTGCATGCGCACCTGCTGCCTGCTCTTGAAAAGCGTGAGTCAGCCCGTCCAAACTGCTGTGCCACGGTGACATTCTCGTCCTGATCGGCCATTCTCGTAGGTTGTGTGAATGATACCTGACATTCGCAAGTCGTTGCTTGCATGATCGCTTCCGATCATCCGATCACACGCATCTGATCTGAGCAAGCTGCGGTTGTCGTGAAGCAGCATTAGAAGCATGAACCGGCCCCGGAAAATGGCGATCGCTGCCGTGGTGCTGCTGCTAGCGGCGGCGATGCCATGTGCGCTGTGCAGCGGGAAGCGCGTTCTCGCGCTGATCGGCAGCGAGGACATCCGCAGCAGCCACAGCCAGTACTTTCAGGGCCTTCGGGACGCAGGGCTGGAGGTGGACGTGCGGGGACACAAGGACTCTGGCCTGAAGCTAGCTGACTACGACACGCCCCGCTACGATCACCTGCTGCTGCTGGCGCCACGCGCGACCAGTGAGGGCGCCCAGCCGCGTGCTGCTGTTGCTGCCACTGCTGCTGCTACTGGAGTTGGCGGTTGCGTTTAGTTGCCAGGAACGCGCGGAACGCTGGGCGTCGGCACAGGCTGAGCACAGTCTCCCTGACCCCTCACACGCGCCCGAAACCACTCCCGCTCAACACCGCGCAGGCTTTGGCGGCAGCCTCAGCAAGGCCTCCATCCTGGAGTGGGCCGACGCCGGCGGCAACCTGCTGGTCGCCCTCGCGCCCGGCGCCAGCGACCTGGTGCGTGGCCTGGCCGCCGACCTGGGGGTGGAGGTGGACGCCAAGGGCACGCGGCTGTACGACCACTTCAGCCGCCAGGCGGCCGGCGGTGCCACAGACCCCTCACTGGTGGCCACCAGCGCCTGGATCGACAGCGACGCGTTCCTGGGAGCGGCGCGGCCGAGCAGCCCGGTGCTGTTCCGCGGCGTGGCGCAGGCCGTGCCGACCAGCAGCGAGCTGGTGGGTGGCGGGCCGGGCGGGGTGGCAGACGAGCTCCTGTGGGGCGCTGGGGAACGCAAGACTGCCCACTAGAAGTTGGGGTGATCAGGGGTCAGGCAACGCGCGATGCCCTATGGTGTGAAGTGCCGTTGGCTGCGGCCGCGCAACTGCATGAGGGCCCTGTCTCACACGCTCTGCGGGGCGCAGGAGAGCTCTGCTCCTCTGTTTAAGACCCCAGTGCACACCATGCCCGCGCACCTCACCCAACCTCACCCACCTGAATTCAACTGCCCCCCTCTGGACCAAGGTGACTGTGCTGCTGTCAGGGGAGGCGACCTCCTACTCCCACGACCCCACCAAGGCGGCCGCAGAGCCCCCCCTGCTGCCGGCCGGCGGGGCAGCTGCGCTCGTGAGCGCGGTGCAGTCGCGCAACAACGCGCGCGCCCTGGTGGTGGGGTCCCTGGACTTGCTGGGCGACGAGCTGTTTGACGCAGCGGTGGAGGTGGCAGAGTCGGGCAAGAGGTGCGGGCCTTCTTGGGGGGAAAAGCCAGCGAGCCATGGCTGAGATTGTGGGGCGGACCAAGGCTGACGGTAGTGCAGTTGTGGCGCTGCGTTCATGCAGGGCCGCCCACGTGTACGCGGCACACCGGAGCCTGGCCCTCGTGAAACCCGCCAAATGCCCGTTTCTCTTTCGTTGTGCTTGAGCCTGGCACCTTGCCCGTGCCGCCGGGCCCCCCACCTCACACTGCAGCTACCCGCAGTCTGGGAACCGTGCGTTTGCGCTGGCCGCGACCCTCTGGGCCTTCCAGCAGCGCGGCGTGCTGGAGGCGTCCGCCCCGCGCCACCGCAACGTGGTGACGGGGGAGGAGGGCCCCTCTCCATACCGAGTGAAGGATGAGGTTCAGTTTGAGATTGACATCTTCGAGGTCGAGGGCGGGGAGAGGAGGCCCTTCAAGTGGGTCGGACGGCGCGGGTTGGGGGGGGAGGCTCAGATTGCAGAGGATGCGGGCAGCACCAGAGGGCTGTGGGCTGGCAGTTCGGTTGGCTTGCATTGGTGCGATTCTGGCAGCCGCACCAACGCAGGGGTGGGCCAAAAAGCAAACCCACAAGGGGCGAAAGTGAGCGGGTGAGGGGTTTGGGTTCGAGCTGGTGTTCTAAGATCAGGGCCGCGCCCCCACTGCCAGGTGCCAGCTGTCTCCTGAACTGTCCCTGCTCACTCATCAGCCTTCCTCACTCTCCCGTATCCCCAACACCCTGGTTTCAACCACCCCCAGGTCTGACGACGTCCAGGTGTCCTTTGTGATGCTGGACCCCTACATCCGCCAGCCCCTGCAGCATGCCGGCGACGGCAAGTTCTCGCTGAGGTTCACTGTGCCTGACGTCTACGGCGTGTTCAAGTACGCCATCGACTACCACCACGCCGGCTACAGCTACATCAACCTGGAGCACGTAAGCTGGGGCGGCGGGGGACGGCAAGGCGGGAAAGGCAGAAACAGGGCTGCTGGGGCAGGACGCTGCGCCTCTTCTATGCCCTGCACTCATGCCCTCCTCGCGCGCTTGTCCTCTACTTGCGCACGATCATGGGTGGTACCCACCATCAGTGGTGCTGCAAAACGAATCTCCCAGTTTGTGTGCGCTTCGCGACCCGCAAATACCGCACCCACTTGCCCACCCCTTCTCATCTGTCCACTGCCCCTCCCCAAAGGTTGTTCCCGTGCGGCCGTACCGCCATGACGAGTACGAGCGCTTCATCCTGGCGGCATACCCCTACTACGCCTCAGCAGCGTCCACCATGGCCGCATTCCTCGTGCTGGGGCTCGCATTCCTCTATGGCAAGTGAAGCGTTGGGTGACAGCAGCCAAGGCGCGCGGCGGCGGCCTGGCTTGCGAAGTCCCGACCTGCCAAGGCTGCGCGGGTGTGTGTGCCGGGCTTCCGGCTGCACTCCCTCCTTAGACAGAGTAATGGCTTGTGAGCCCACACTCGCTCTCTGTGCGCAAGCGCATGCCTGGCGGGGTTTGGGAACCGGTATGTTGATGAGTAACAGCACATTCATCCCTGTGCTGCTCTATTTCGGACTTAATGGCAACTGTCAGACCGCCGCCTTTTGGGACGTTGAGGGACAGTGCAGTCCTGTCAAGCATTAATAGGCAGCCTGCCGCCACTGGCCCTAGGAATGCTTGCATGGGCACCTAATACGGGGGGGGGGGACAGGACGGCAGGCATGGAGCATGATTATTACTTGCTGTGACCCTGCAAAAGGACATGGGACAAATCAGTGATGACACGTGCGCCGAATCAGCAATGATGTGTGCGTCAACCGGCATGTGCATGTTACAGCACACCCAGAGGCAGCAGGGCGAAGCACACCGTTCAGTGGGCAGTTGAGTCATTTGCCATGCCAGTGAACAGACATGGGCTGCTTGGAGAAAAATGTGGTGTTTGCTCGCTGAACAAGGAGCCGCTCATGCCAGCTTCAAACGTGCCAGCTTCAAACGTGCATAAACAGGAAAATTGCCCAATAGCAATGGCTTCAACATGAGTTTATCACGCAGCTGCCACAACGCCAGCGACGCCTGCTCCGGCTGTGCGCTGAGCGCGGCGTAGTAGAATGCCAGTCCATTGCAGCACAACATGGCCAGATTGGTCGGCTCACTTGGCCGCGGACAGCCTGCCGCTACCAACTGCATTGCAGGGGGCAAGTTGTGTGGCGATTAATACATGCCCTGCTGCCGGTCAAAGCTCCGCACGACAGAGAGCGCGCTCTCACTGACACACACACCCCCACACCCACACACACACACACACACACACACACACACACACACACAATCGCATGGACGCACGAACATACTTACGTACCTGCACACACACACACACACACACACACACACACGAACATACTCATGAGTCAAAAGTAGTAGTGTCAGGCAATGCATTTGGAGGTAAAGGTGATTGCTCCCGCCTTGTCCACGACGGCCGTCTGTCTGAAGCCCCTGTAGCCGCCATTGCCGCACGGCGGCAGCTCGCCCGTCCAGGGCGCCACGCCCGCGCCGATGGCCAGGTTGGCGCGCGTGGGCGGCAGCGTGTAGCCACGCGGCAGCTTGGCAAAGAATGCCGTGCAGGTGAGGGATCCCGCGGAGCCCGCAGGCGTGCTGCTGCAGTCTGGCAGCAGCGTGACGGCCACGCCGCTGGGGAAGAGTTGTGAGCCGCCCTTGGTGGTCGGCGCTGCGCAGAAGGCTGTGGGCGCGCCGTTTGCCTTGCTGGCCAGCACAACGCAGCAGGAGCCAACGTTGCCGTTGATGGAGGCCAGCGCGCTTGTGTGCTTGGGGCAGAGCGTGACACGCTGCTTCACCTCGCAGCAGTTACCACTGGCACAGCTGCTGCTGCTCGTCTGCGTGACGGTCTGGCACTCGCCGCTGGGGCCGCCCCCGCCGCCGTTGCCGCCGCCGCTAAGCGTCGACATGGCGGAGGAAGCTGAGGCGAAAGAAGAGGATGAGGAGCTAGAGCCGGCAAAGCTGGGGCCACCACCTGCTGCCAGTGCTGTTGCAACGGTGCTGACAGGCTGCGCCAGGGATCCAGGCGCGACGGCCGCCAGCAGCAGCACCAGTGCGATGGCGCGTGCTCTACGGCCGCGTGTTGACGTGCCAGTTCGCATGGCTGCTGCCTGCACTTGCAACGGTTGCCGTGCGTCTTTTTTGCCTGCGCCCCTCGTCGTGTGCGTTTGGTGTCTGCACACAGGCAGCGGCGGGGAGAGCGGCAGCGAGGTTACGGTAGTGGCGGAGTCAAGGCTTCTCCGGCTTGGAACACACATCCGTAGATTCCATCTGTTTTCCCCTTCACGAAATTTGTGTGCGTTCAAAGACGCTCTTCGGAGTGACCTTTCAGAATGTGATGTGCGCCGAGTTTGCCACGGCCCCATTTTGTCAGTTCTGAGCGGACAAGCAGATCAAACTCAAGCACTATTCCCTGCTTCACAGCTTCAGGAGCAAGATAACCCGCAAGCTCACCAGTAGTGAAGAGATCTGGTGCTTTCAGAGTTTCAGTCAGGAGTGTGTGTCGAATTCAATGCAGTCGGGCATATGTGAGATGCTGGTCATACGGGTGGGCTGCTCTGTGTTGCCCCCAGCGGCTGCGGCGCAGCTGCGGCATGAATGACCAGGCTCATCACAGGCTGCAGACACGTGGCCCCGTTCCCATAGCAGGCTTGCACAGCTTTGGCTGTGTATGCTTGTGAATATGCTTGGCACACACCCTTGAGGCCCAAATATGGCAACCCAGGAGCAGGTGCAAACTTATAACAGTCATTGCACCCCAGCAGACCCGGTCCAGCAATGGCACGCATCTGCAAGGTGCCGTTATCACGGCACCCGCCACCAGGCCGAGGTTCAGAAACATTTCACAGGATATGCTGCATGCTGAGGGTGCCATGCTTGCGGCTGGCACGGCGCTGCCTCCCACAAAGGGCGGGAAATGAGGCTGCGCCCTGTTTCAGGAGCGCAAATCAAGTCCGCTCAGCCAGCATCAGGATGGCTGTGCTCGCGCAAGCGCGTGCTGCAGCTATGCTGTTGGATAGTGGATTCGATTCAAATTCATGCCGTTGAGAGGCCAATGCAATTTAGTCGTAGAGTTGAGGACAGAAGAGCGGCGCGCAGGGTGAGCAGGATGTGTGAATGCAAGTGCTGATGCAAAACAGATCAGGCCACCAAAGAGCTGCAACCTGTCAGCTAGGCGGCGACGCGAGCGTGGGAGGGCTGCAGCCGGCCCTGGCCGTGCGGTACACGGTGACGGGAACCCTGATAGTCCCGTTGCGTGCATTTCCCGCCTCGTCCCTGAAGGCCAAGTCAAGGCCCAGGACGGTGCTGTCCCTGCCTGCTGCTGGCATCGCCGCACGAATGCACACACGTCCATCCTTGGGCAACCGGCAGTTGCGGGCGTCCGTGCTGCCCGCACACGTCGCCTGCACCTGCACTGCCCCGCAGGTGTCACTCGAGTCGGCCAGGGCCGCGAGGGGCCAGCACGCCCACTTGCCGTTGGCTGGCGCTGCACATTCGCCGCCCACCTTGCGCAGCCTGGCCTCCGGCGGCGTGGCGTCGCGAACCGTCACCTGCTGCACAGTGCAGCTGGCGGTGACGTTGGTGGCCACTGACCGTGCAACTATTGTCAGAGCCCGCGTCCCTGGCGACAAGTTGGACCCCGCCGCAAAGCTGAGCTGGGCAGCCGTCCCCACCCAAGCCGGCGGTAGACCCGCCAGGAGCTTGTCAGCGTCCGCTGCCGCCGCTGTGCAAGACTCCGCCGCCGCATGCAAGATCACGGGCCCCAAGGCGCATGCGACACAAGGCCGTGCGTCGATGGTTGCCCTGCCGGCCAGCCGCCGCACGACGCCGCTGTCGGTGACGTCCACCGTGGCTGTCGCAAAGTACCGCCCTGGCTGCAGCACCAGGCTGAAGGTCGCGCCGCTGCCCGCCAGCATCAGCGCCTTGCCGGTCGCCGCTTTTGCATCCTGCCACTCGACCGTCCATCTCGCGGCCGCCGCAGACTGGCCGGCCAGTACAGTGGGTGCTGCTGCTGTGAGCGTAACAGCCGCCCCCGCACAGCTGGGCTTTGGGGCCGCCAGCACCAGCGCCGCCGTTGGCGCCACCACCAGCAGCGTTGACAGGTAGTAGACACTGTTCACTGACGACGTGCTGACGCCCCCCGCACCGCCGGCAAATCCAGCCACCTCTGCCAAATAGAGCCCTGCCGCAACTGCCCCAAACGCGGCCGTGCCTCCGCCCGTTGAAGAGCGTGTGAGCGGCGTCTTGTGGGCCGCCGCCGCGCGTGCTGTCAGCGGGGTGAGCTTCCAGGCAAAAGCCAGCTGCTGCTTGGCCACGTCCAGCCCTGCGTCGGCCCCCCAGCCGACGGGCAGCGTCACCCCGCTGCACGACAGCACCAGCGGCGCAAACTCGGTCCCAACCAGCTGCGCCGTGGCGCAGCGGCCTGTCACAAAGCCCTGCGGCGAGGCGGCCGTGTAGTAGTCACTCCAAAAGGGCTTGGTTGTGACTGCGATGGCTGATGAAGTGCTGGCTGTCTTGCCAGTAGCCTTGTTGGCCACCCTGAGAGTCAGCCTGAACGACCCAGGGGTGGCCAGCAGAAACCGAGCCGGCGTGCTGCAGCCAAAGACGGTCGCACCGCCTCCAGCTGCAGGGGCGTCTGAAGGGGCCAGCGTGAGCGAGCAGGTCGAGGCTGCCAGATCTCCTTGCCAGCTGGCGCTGCTGAGATCAAACAGGCCACTGACGGCGGGGTCCACCTCCATCACAGCGCCCTGGAAGAATGATCTGGCTGGCAGCTGCAGGGTCACCGCCAGCTTTGACCCATAGATGGGCGGCGGCGTCGACACCACCGCTGCTTGAACAGCTGCTGGTGAGGGCGACGGCGGCGGTCCCGTGACAGTAGAGACAATCACCTTGGCGGCAGCCTCGGCAGCACCTCCCTGACCGTCCATGGCGGTGATGAGCAGGGAGTAGGCGCCAGCAGCTGCAACTGAGGGCACGGCCACACGCGCACCGTCCCCCATCAACACCTTGCCGGTGGCCACCTCCATGAGGGTCCACTTGTACGACACCACGCTGCCATCTGGGTCCATGGCGGCCCCCTCAATCGAGAAGCTTCCGCCCGCCTTGATAGTGTACACCAAGGCAGCCCTGAAAATGGGCGCCGCGGCGACTGAGGGGGAGGTGTCTTCGGGTGCTGCAGTGAAGGCCGCGACAGAGAAAGATTTACGGGCGGTGGCGGTGTTGCCCGCGGTGTCGCTGATCAGCATGCCCACCTGCAAGAGGTCAAAACATAATTTGGAAGGAGTTGACTGTATAGCGGTGGATTTCATTACGCATGCGTAATCGATGTTAAATCATGGCTCTCCTGTAAACACTGCTTCCCCTCCATCTCCTCCCGTCGTAAGCGTGCTGGACCCACCAATTTTCTTGGCACACATCCAATCCGATCGAGAACCACCCCTTTTGCCCATGCTCCTTCACACCAACACAGCACTCCACTTTCTGCTGATTATGCGCACAGCGCCTCCTGGAGGTGCAAAGAGAATCTGCTTACCTGGTAGTTGCCAGGGAACAGCCAGACTTCGCCGACACTCCCAGTGGTGTTGGCGACTGCCGTGCGCCCTGGAATGCTGACAACAGCCCACAACACATTGGCCACGCGGGTCCCAGCCGCCGGCAACGAGCCTGTTGAGTCCAGAGCCACACGAGTGAGACCAGACCCCGAAGCCGCCAGGACAGACGGTGGTGGCAGCGATATCGCCGCGACGGCCGTTGCGTTGGGGTTGGGGTTGCTGGGGTTGCTGCTGGTGCCGACCACAAACTGCTTGATGGCTGTCGAGTTACCGCCGCTGCTGTCTTGGACCGCCAGATCAATGGTGTACTTGCCCGTGGGAAGTTTTAGGTAGCCGGCGTAGCCCATAACGCTGGCAACAACCCGTCCGTCTGGGACCGAGGTGACGCGCCAGGCGAAGTAGGTGAGGTTGCGGCCAGGCGCAGGCAGGCTGCCGTTGGCCGACATCAGAAACTGTGTTCAGGATTTTGGTGTTTCAGGTATTCGAAAGGCGGTGTATAAATGTCAAAATGGCAGGGTGTCAAAGGGGGTGCATGGGAGTGCAGCCTGGGGCAGCCTAGGGCGGACACAAAGAAGGCTAGGGGTGCTGCACAGAGAATCGACTGCAGCGACAAATGACTCCGGACTCGATAACCTTTTGGCTTTATGAGCACCACATGCAAAGCTGTCACAAAGCCACGAGCAGCCCACTGGCCCGATCTGCACACCAAATGCCAACCCTTGTGTCCAACCATGACTGCAAGACCCACACCTGAGTCCCGTCGCCGTCCGCCGCAATCACCACTGCCGCCGGGCTGCTGATGACGGCCGTCGTCACCGGCACTGGCCAAACTGCAAACACCTTGCTCGCGTTTGCCGCGGCTCCCACGAGGTCTGTCACTGTCAGCGTGACGGCGTACACTCCCGTTGCCAGCCACACGCTGGTCGCCTTGCCAGCCGCCGCAGCCACCTGCTGGCCGTCTGGCAGGCGCCGCACCACCCAGGAGTAGAGCAGGATGGGCCGGAGGGGCGCCTGCGTGCTGCCGGTCGCGTTGAGCAGCACCAGCCCTGTCTTGTTGCCGCCCGTCGACACCACCGCGTCTGGTGACGCGATGTTGGCGCCCAACACGTAGAGCAGGGCGCCCAAAGGTGAGGCGCCGTTGCTTCCAAGCGCCGCGCCTGACCCGTAGGGCTTGATGGGGCCAGAGGTGCAGTTGCGCCACTCCTGGCTGGCCCATGCCTTGATGTTTGTGAGCGAGGGCATTGACAGGATGTCGTACGCGTACACGCCAGCTCCCGTGGTCCTGTCAAACAGGCACTGCGGTGCGGTGCTGGTCGGTACCGTGTTTGGGGGCACAGTTACCGCCGGCGCTGCTGGTGACGCAGCGGGGCTGGGAGACCGTATGGGCAGTGGCGGCGGCGGCGGCGGCGGCGGGGCCGGCAAACGTGGCGGGGGCTGTGGCGGCGGCGAGGGGACGGCTGCGACGACCACGACCGTTGACGGTGGCTGTGGGGGCGGCGATGGGGAGCTGGCTGGGGCCGCGGCTGCCACCAGCGCCGGCGGAGGGGGCGGCGTGTGTGGCGCGTACGCCGCGGGCAGCACCAACAGGTCGGCCTGTGTCGCGCTGACTCCGCCCTGGCCGTCGCCCACCTCCAGTGTCAGCACGTACTCGCCCACGCTGGCCACCAAGAAGGACCACTCTGAGGTGAACGCCTCTGCCAGCACCTTGCCGTTGCCTCCTGCCAGCGCCAGCGTCCACCGGAAGCTGAGAGGGTCGCCATCGGCGTCGCTGCTGCGGCCGGCAGTGACGACGACTGGCCGCCCGAGGTAGCCGGTGTACGGCCCGCCGGCGCTGGCAATGGGGATGCGGTTTTCCCGCACCACCACCAACAGCGCCTGCGTGTGCGTGCCGTATGCGCCAACAATCCGCAGCGTGACTAGGAACTCGCCACTTCCAAGGAGGACATCAAACGACGCCGGCTGGGGCACAGGGAGGCTGAGGATGACGGGCTGCGTAGTGGGACGGATCTCGGAAATGGACCAGTCATATGTGTCGGCGTTGCTGCTGCTGGAGCCATCAAACGTCACAGAGGCAAGCGCACCGCTGCGGGTGCGGACCACAGTGCTGCCGTTGTTGCTGGGGATGCCAATACGCGCAACAGCCGCAGGCGGAGGCGGCGGCGGTATTGCTACAGCTGCTGGGGACAGTGGAGACGGCAACAGAGACGCAGACAGCGGGTTCTGGTCAGTGATGCCTGCACCTGCTGCCGGGCTGGGGCTGGAGATGGGGCTGCCGCCGCCGCTGCTGCTGCCGCCGCCGCCGCCGCCGCCGCCGCCGCCGCCGCCGCCGCCGCCGCCGCTGCTGCTGCTGCTGCTGCTGCTGCTGCTGCTGCTGCTGCCGCCGCCAATGCTGCTGTTGCTGATGCTGCTGTTGCTGCTGCTGCTGCTGGTGCTGCTGCCAGCTACTGCTTCGTTCTCGTAACTGTCTGTGTACTGCTCTGCACTGCTGCTGCCACTGTTGCCATTTGTTGTGTCCCCTGCCCAGTTGGACACGGCACTGCCGCGGCTGGTGCCCACAGCCACAGCAGGCGACGGCGATGCCTCTCTGACGCTCCTGTCCGCGCCCCATACTGTCTGACCCTTGGCCACGGGCGCCGCCACCAGTAGCACAGAAACTAGTACCAGAAAAGCCGCCGCAAGCGACCAGGCAGCCAGGCCGCTGCGCGCGCCGACAGGACAGCGCATGCGGCCTGGCGCCTGGGGGCGCGCCACACGTGGCGACGCGCACGTAGACAGGCAGCAACTACACGCGTTCTAATTGGCGATTAGATGCCCAAATGACTCCTTGCTGGCATCGCTAGGTCCTCCCGCTGCCGTGTCGCATATTTGTCGGAGTTGCAGCTGCGTGGCAGAGGACGGAGTTGCAGAAATGAGATAGATTACATGAACTTACGCGAAACAAAAGAAACGAAGGTATCACGAGCTGGCTCAGGCCCGTGGTTTCGCCGCCATGAACCTGCTCTTCGATGATTCGAGCTCCGTGCTTGAGGAAGCTGCCAGCAATGGCACCAAACATCGTTGTATGACATATATTACGTGTTTCCATGGGTCAATATGTATCTCTGCATCGATGCGGATGTGAAAACAGCGGGTGCCTTTGGTCGTTCATTCGCAGTGGGTTGCGGAGCCACACCGGCGGAAAATGAGCGGAGGGACACCACAGCAGCGGCCCACGCTGTCAGGCCGTGTAGCACATTCACGCACCTCCCCAAGCCCAACCTTATCATTACGCATGCTGACTCCCTCCAAGCAAGGCAGGCGGCTGCATCCCAAGCTGGCAACATAGCTGCTCAGCATCACGCCACTCAATGGCGGCTTGATGCTGTGGCAGCTGCACGCCAGCCCATTTTGCAAGTCGCACAACCTGCTTGGATAATGCAGCCAGACATTCAGCTGCAGATACCATTTACAATTATTACTCTCGTCATGCGAAGAAAGCTCTTCGATACAGATGCTCTCAGCTGTTGCAAAAAACACTCAAGATGCGCAGCAAAAATAGGGCTGCAGCCGCCCACACGCGACCCACACTTGGGGAAGGGGGCCTACTTCTTGAACAGCCAGCCAAAGGTGGCCTTGACTGCCTCCATGTTGATCACCGGCTCGTCGTACTTGTTCAGCACCTCATCAAACCTGGGGCTCTCACGCAGCTTGGTCAGGTTCTTGTCGGACCGCACCTGGCTGTAGTCCTCGTAGCCCAGGGACAGCGCCTGCTCCAGGGAGCGCAGGCCCTCGTCGATCTGGTCGTGTGTGTGGGGAAGGAGGGGGGATTGATCAGGTGGGTCAAGTGTGTTGAGCTGGTCGAAATCTGAAGATTACCGCGCGGGGAATGTCTCCGCACGCGTACCTGCCCGAGGCTCCCACCACAACTGGACTCTGCAGGTGGGGCGTTGTCAGGCAGCCCCGTACCCCAGCCAGCACGTACAACATCCCACCACACCCCTCCCCCGGGGCCAGAGCGCACCTGACCCAGCATGCTGTAGCAGCAGGCGATGTTGTAGGCGGTGACGGGCATGACGGGCGTCACGCGCGCGCCGCTGTCACCAACATAGTTGCGGGGCTCCAGGGACGCCACATTCTCAAAGTCAACCAGTGCGCCCTGAAGTGGTGGAGGGGGAGAACATGGGGGTCAGGGTAGGGGCGAGGTGAGACGACAGGGGCTGCGTTTGAAATACCGTGTCGGCTCTAGAACCTAACTACCTGCAAGCACACACCTCCTGTGTATGCTGCCACCCAGGCCCAATGCCGCCTTGCACACTCCCAAATGGTCTCCCCAAAAAGCATCCCCCCTTCACGCACACCCGATCAGGCCCCTTTACACTGCCCCCCAAAAGAGGGCCCGCCGCCCACCGCAATGTCGCCGCTCTTGAACTTGTCCAGAGCGTCGTCAAACAGCTCGCGGCGCTTGCGCTCCTGCTCCTTGCGCGTCACGTAGTTGCGCGCCTGCACACGTATGCGGCGTTTTTGCGTTTGTAAGCATGCAGGCACGTAGGAGAATGTATTGCGCTATAGCGGAAGAGAAAATTTTGATCTGCACCCGCCAGTTGCCATCTCAACGGCGGCCGTGCCAGGCTCAGCAAGGGGCCGCGTCCCCCTCGGCCCGGCTGGTGCCACGCTGCGCAATCATCGCACCTGCATCTCCTTGGTGCCCGCGCCGTAGTTGCCGCCGCGCCTCTCGCTCTTCCACTTCTTCTCCGCCTCGTCCAGGTCCTCGTCCTGGCACAGGCAGAGGCCGGGGGGAGGGGGGATAGGTGAGGGGTGGAGGGGTGAAAAATTGCAGACACCAACAAACATCGTGCACGCAGGTGCAGGTGTGTGAGAGTGTGTGATCGTGCGGGCGCATACATGAGCATGTGTGTCCGACGCACTGCTTTGCAAGCTCCACTTCTTAAACACATCAGACCCCTCTCGCACTGGAAACACCTGCTGAAAAGAACCAGCGACGGCCACCCTAGACGCGCCAGCCCTGATGGGTACGGGAGCATACTGCTGGCTGCTGCAGCATCACCCACATCGCCATCAGCCCTTCACTACCGGCTCACAAGCTCAGAGCCACCCTTCCACCACGGCCGGAGCTGCTGCACCTGCACATCGCCCAGAAACCGCTGTGCCTGGTGCTGCGCACCTAGGCCCCCCTCCCTCCACGCCCGCAGGCCTCACCTGCAGCGCGCTCATGTCCCCAAAGTTCCTCTTGATCTTCAAGTACACGTCGCCGCTGCGAGTGCGGATGGCGTACATGATCTGGCCGAAGTTCTGGGCCTCCCACACGTCATCGCCGAACGACGCGCTGATCAGCACCACCTTGTCCCCAGGCTGCAGCGACAGGGCGGCAGGGCGGCAGGGTTGTTGGGGTGGG